CCATTTTAAGAAAACATCAAAATTTTGAAAAATACCCAAGGCTATAGCCCATGGTTTTTTCCAAAAAATGGCTCCGAAATCACCCCAAATTTTTATTACATTTTCTGATACATATTGATGTCCTTATGCTGTGTAGCAAGTTTGAGCTGATTCCGACTTAAATTTTTCAAGTTACGGCCATTTTAAGAAAACGTCAAAATTTTTAAAAATACCCAAGGCTATAGCCCATGGTTTTTTCCAAAAAATGGCTAAAAAATCACCCCAAATTTTTATTACATTTTCTGATACATATTGATGTCCTTATGCTGTGTAGCAAGTTTGAGCTGATTCCGACTTCAATTTTTTAAGTTACGGCCATTTTAAGAAAACGTCAAAATTCTGAAAAATACCCAAGGCTATAGCCCATGGTTTTTTTCCAAAAAATGGCTAAAAAATCACCCCAAATTTTGATTACATTTTCTGATACATATTGATGTCCTTATGCTGTGTAGCAAGTTTGAGCTGATTCCGACTTCAATTTTTCAAGTTACGGCCATTTTAAGAAAACCTCAAAATTCTGAGAAATACCCAAGGCTATTATAGCCCATGGATTTTTCCAAAAAATGGCTCCGAAATCACCCCAAATTTTTATTACATTTTCTGATACATATTGATGTCCTTATGCTGTGTAGCAAGTTTGAGCTGATTCCGACTTGAATTTTTCAAGTTACGGCCATTTTAAGAAAACGTCAAAATTCTGAGAAATACCCAAGGCTATAGCCCATGGATTTTTCCAAAAAATGGCTCCGAAATCACTCCAAATTTTTATTACGTTTCTGATACATATTGATGTCCTTATGCTGTGTAGCAAGTTTGAGTTGATTCTGACTTGAATTTTTTGAGTTACGGCCATTTTAAGAAAACGACAAAAATCTGAAAAATACCTATAGCCCATGGTTTTTTCCAAAAAATGGCTCCGAAATCACCCCAAATTTTTATTACATTTTCTGATACATATTGATGTACTTATGCTGTGTAGCAAGTTTGAGCTGATTCTGACAAACATTTTTCAAGTTACGACCATTTTAAAACAAGGCAATTAACTGTATTTGTAGTTGTGAGGTAGGCATTACCAGGTGGATCCATAAAATCAAAGTGGACCAGATCATCAATACCAAGCTTCTTCAGCTGCAATACCACAGTCCCCAGGTTGGAGCGGAGTATCTCTGGGTAGGTATTGTCTTGCATTTCATTTTGATATGCCTTCTCTGTATAAAGCCGGAAACACTTCCCTGGCTTAGTACGACCAGCCCTGCCAGCTCTCTGCTGGGCACTGGCCTTACTAATGGCTGACACCAGGAGTGACTCTACCCTTATCCGTGGGTTGTACACCTGATGAATGAATTAATGATGTACATGGACACCATTGGATGGTGTAGTACCTTCTGCTTAGAGAAGCCAGGGTCAATGACAAACACTACTCCATCAATAGTTAGTGATGTTTCAGCAATGTTGGTTGCCACGACAACCTTACGACCTACAGCTCCATTCTCCCTCCTTGAAAATTATTATAATAATGATAATAAATAAATATATTAAATAATTATAAAATAAAAAATGATCATACTTTGGTGGAGGGGGCTCGAATATTCTTTGCTGGAGGTTAGGGGGGAGGGTGGAGTAGAGTGGGATGCATTTCAGTTCTCCGATCTCAGGCCCAAGGTTCTCAACCTCACGCTGGATCCTTTTACAAGCCTCATCAATCTCCTAGTAATTGACGTTATAGAATAAAAGATAATCATGGATATTTTTAAAGAACCAAATTTAGTATAATATAAATAACTCAATAATAGATGATAAGCGTCTTCACTAACTTCTTGTCCAGTGAGAAACAGTAACACGTCTCCCTCCATCTCCTCACAGAGATGAATCTGTACCACTGTCCTAATGGAGGCCTCAAGATAGTCTCTCTCAGGCTCTGGGGTGTAGAATATCTCAACAGGATGGGTCCTGCCAGGGATGCTCTATCAGGAAAGGGATCAGTCATACAGTAAGTCAGTTCATGATTGGATTTGAGTTGACACAAACTGTCTAATGTCACAAGGACATCATCAATATTGTACAGATACAGGTAATAAGAATATTTGTGTCTTCAGAGCCAATTTTCTAAAAAATAGGCTATGGCCTTTTTTAGAAATTGGACTATTTTCTCAAATCAAAAACTAATCAGTTAGACTATAAACATAACCCACAATTACGATGTAGTGTGTGTGTGTTTCAATTACAATTAATGGTGCGTCATCAAAATAAGTTTGAAATTTCCCAGCGTCTAAAGTTGCACTCATAATAACTATCTTAATATCTTCTCTGTTATTCATTATCTAAAAAAACAATTAATAATAATAATAATAACAATAATTGATATATTGTACTTCTTTGATGATACCCATCAGTATATCGGTTGCTAGGGTTCTCTCGTGTGCCTCATCCAGTAACACTACACTGTACCGCTCCAACAGTGGGTCATTCATTGCTTCTCTTAGGAGCATCCCATCAGTCATGTATCTATTAATAATAATAATAATAATAATAATAATAATAATAATAATAATGATGATGATGATGATGATGGGTGGATTCTTTCCGTTCTTTCTTTCTCACCTCAGTATAGTCCTTGCTGAGGTGCAGTCCTCAAAACGAATATTATAACCAACTTCCTGTCCGAGGGTAACATCCATTTCATCAGCTACTCTCTGGGCCACACTCATGGCCGCCACCCTACGAGGCTGGGTACAAGCCACTCCCTTTCTACCAGTCAACTGAGCGTATTCCGAGAGCCACTGGGGGATCTAAACAACAGACAATAAACTAGTTGGACACAAAATACACACAAATCATTAATTAATCTATTACCTGTGTTGTTTTACCACTCCCAGTTTCCCCCACAAGGACTACACATTTGTTCTTCTTTATAGTCTCTATGAACTTGTCATAGTAGTCCCAGACTGGTAGGGTTTTACGTTTCGTGAGTATCTGCCAGAACTTCTGAGAGAAAGGTCGTCCAGTGTATTTGTTGATCTGCTGCTTCGAGCTACTCATCCCTCCGCCATTTTCTTTATCGTTGTCATAGCGACTGTGTTGTGATCCGTTAGAATAAAGTGACACTGTGGTGTAATGACTTAATTAATGCTAGCATGCACTACTTAAGGGGGTGTGGTTTAGGCTCTGGCATTAATTATTATTATTATTATGCATACTGGGGCACTATTAAATTTGTTGGTTGTAAGGTATGTACTTTAGAGTGTCACTAACCCGGACTTTGTTGATTTCGAATCTTCTACGTCTAAACGTCTTTTCCTCTCGGACATTCTGTTTCTCTTCACCACATGTGATGATGTGAATGGTGTAGATTATTAAAAGTTATTAAGTTTTATTTACTTTCAGTTTAATAACTGGACTGAGCATGCGCAGTAGTTCAATTCTACCCACGTGCTCACCATTGTTTTAAAATGGCGCATTATAACTTCAAGAAGATCACTGTTGTCCCTTCAGCAAAGGACTTCATAGACATTGTCCTCTCAAAGACGCAGAGGAAGACGCCCACAGTCGTCCACAAGCATTACAAGATCTCTCGTATCCGCCAGTTCTACACTAGGAAGATAAAGTACACTCAACAGAACTACCACGACAAGCTGGCCACCATCTTGACAGAGTTCCCCAAACTAGACGACATCCATCCATTCTATGCTGACCTAATGAACGTCCTGTACGACAGAGACCATTACAAACTCGCTCTGGGGCAGCTCAATATAGCAAAGCATCTAATAGACAATGTGGCAAAAGATTACGTTCGTCTTACAAAATTTGCAGATTCTCTTTATCGTTGTAAGCAGTTGAAGAGAGCAGCCCTGGGACGTATGTGTACGATAATGAAACAGCAGAAGCAAAACTTGGAGTACCTAGAGCAGATACGTCAGCACCTCTCCCGCCTGCCCTCCATTGATCCTAACACTCGTACCCTCCTCATCTGTGGGTTCCCTAATGTGGGCAAGTCCAGTTTCATGAACAAGATAACACGAGCTGACGTTGAAGTCCAACCCTACGCCTTCACCACCAAATCCCTTTTCGTGGGTCACATGGACTATCGTTACCTTCGCTGGCAAGTGGTGGATACCCCTGGTATCCTGGACCACCCGCTGGAGGAAAGGAACACTATTGAGATGCAGGCAATCACTGCACTAGCTCACCTAAGAGCAGCTGTTATATATGTCATGGACCTCTCTGGTCAGTGTGGGCATGGCATTGAAGAACAGATTCAGCTGTTTGAGAATATACGACCTTTATTCAGCCAGAAACCTTTACTGATAGCACTGAATAAAACTGATATAATCACTCTTGATGAACTCAGTGTAGAGGAGAGAGAACCAATTGAGAAACTTTCCGGAGAAGGATTACGTGTTTTATCAATGAGTACCGTACAGGAGGGAGGAGTCATGGAAGTGAGGAACGCTGCATGTGATGCTTTGCTGAGTCAGCGTATTGAGCATAAGCTGAAGAGTAAGAAAATGCCTGATGTACTGAACCGGCTCCATCTTGCGGTCCCTGCCCCCCGGGACGGGAAGGAAAGACCAGCCCATATACCCCCGGGGGCGAAATCTCACAAGAAATCACAACTCATGGAAATAGATGATGATGATGATGGAATGGGTGTGGTTTCTGATTTAGCTCCTCCCACTCGTAAACTTGAGCGGGACATAGAGTTGGAGCAAGGAGACGATTATTTGTTGGATCTAAAGAAACGATACCTGCTCCCCAACAAAGAGGAGAAGTATGACGTGATACCTGAGATCTATGAAGGTAAGAATATATCTGATTTCATTGATCCCGAGATACTCGAGCGTCTTGAGAAACTGGAAAGAGAAGAGGAACTCCGAGTGGCTGCTGGTGAATATGAATCGGAACCAGAAGACGAGGAGACTCTTCGTACCAGGAACCTTGCTCAAAAGATAAGACGAAAGAGAGAGTTCCTGCACAAGATTAACATCAGCAAGAGAGTCCGTAATCACCCCATCATGCCTCGGACCAGCAGACCATTGCAACGTATTAAAGACCCTGCTGTTAACAACAGTGCAATGGAGACTGGCGAGGGGCCACTGGTAGAGACTATGGAGGAGGACAGTGGTAGAGGAGTTACTAGGGGAAAGAAGAGAATGAGAGAAGCAAGTCGATCTGCTCCTCCTCATGCTTCAAGGTCTGTGTCTAGAGCTCAGTCTGGAGTTAGACCCTCCGAGGTTGAGAATGTCGCCAAGAAAATGAAGAGAGCTCAGAAATATTTGAATAAGAAGAGCAGGAAGGGAGAGGCAGATAGAAAGATAGTGACCAAGATGCCAAAGCACTTGTTTGCTGGGAAAAGAAAATCTGGAAAGACTTCTAGACGTTGAGCTATGATATGAAAAGCCAATATTTTCAGATTTGTTAATTTAAAAATTATAAGTGTCTAGTATACTTTATTGTAAATATTAAGGTATCAGCCATTTTACTGTATCACGTGATCATGTTAAGTAAATCCTTTTACATGAAGTTAATGAACTCTGACCTTCAGGGAGACCCTAGCGTTATTAGTGTGGGAAATGGCGGATGGTTCTGGAAGCAAAAAGAGAAAGTTAGAAGAGGAAACTAAAGGAGACAGCGAGGAGGACAGTATGAACGTTATATTAGCTCTTTTTGGGTCATTCAATCCTGTCACCTTCTTACATCTTAGAACTTTTGGTATGTGTAATGATAGCAATAATAATTAGTGATAAAATAACAGGATAAACAGTAATTATTATGTTAAAGTTGGTTGTTAAAAACATAAGTTATGACAATGCATTGTTTTCTGTCAAAACTTTCAATACAAAGGAATAAGCTGAGACACCAGCACAGGTTGAACTAAAGCAGTTTATAGTCCCTTTCATAATTTCCATTGTTCCTGACCAAATTCTTCATTTTTAAGTACTCGAAATTATGAGCAGATTAGCTCAAACTTGTTAATTATCTTAATGCATGTTCTTTCATTATCATGTTATATAGAGCTTGCTCGTGATTACCTTACTAAGAGAAGAGGCTGGAATGTGATAGGTGGAGTCATATCTCCAGTCCACATTGCTTATGGGAAGAAGGTACTCACTTATGATGAAGTAGTGACTGTGTACATTGTGGGTAGGGTTTGCTGTCTAATGAACATCGTCTAGCAATGGCAAGGGCAGCAACACAGGACTCTGACTGGATAAGGTAATGGAGTATCATCCTGATGTACTCCTAACCCTCCCTCCCTCTCTCTGTTCTCATTATTAAGAGTTGATGATTGGGAGTGTTCACAAGAAGGTTGGACAGAGACAGCAAAGGCTCTTATTGAAGTTGAGAAATGTCAAATTGCAAAGCATCCTAGAGGTAGACTAATAGTATTAGTACTTCTAGTGGCATAGTCCCAGTTTCATTTCTTCCCTACTGACCAATTCAGATAACATCAAGTTGAGGTTTCTTTGTGGAGGTGATCTACTTGAGTCGTTTGCCACCCCTGGCCTGTGGAGCGATGAAGATGTGAGAGATTTGTTATTAGTATTCCTGTATTGTACTGTATCACTGTATTGTACTGTTGGTGTTTAGATTGAAACAATACTCACTAGATTTGGTTTGGTTGTCATATCAAGGCATGGCTCTAATCCAGAGAAGTTTGTATATGAATCAGACATACTTCAAAAGTTTGAGGTACATCATTAAAGGAATATTATTAATTATTATTATTTTTGTTGATGCTATTTAGAACCAAATTGACATTGTCACTGAATGGATTCCAAATGATGTCAGTGCCACTAAAATTAGGTACGGGAGAATCCTTCATTTTATTGCACCTGATATTGGATAAATAAACCATCACTTGTAACATGATAATAATAATAATAATAATTATTATTATTATTATTATTTCAGGCGTAGCTTAAAGAGAGGAGAGAGTGTAAAGTATCTCATTCCAGACCCTGTCATTGACTATATCAAGAAACATAATTTGTATCAGGTAATTAATAATAATAATAATAATAATAATAACAATGGATGGGTACTAACATAATTATTAAATTCACACTCAATGCAGGAGGACTAGTTCTCAAGCACTAAAGACAATATGTACGTATTTCAATACTCAATTATCAAATTGTTGTTTTTTCAAATTGTTTTGTATTGTTTTCCTCACATCGGGCGAGTTTGCCATCACAAACAATCGCGTGGATTTCTTCGAAGACAGATCAACACTGCTCAGTGTAGCTGTCCCGCCCATAAGAGTATTTCCATGATAATCCTCTCCTAGACTAACGCTCTCATTGTATGAGAACATTGATGATGGAATATCAGAGATCTGACCGTTTCTTAATTCAAATTTATCAACGACAGATCCAAAGTCGCTTGGCACTGTAATGTCTATTTTATTGACAGTGTGGTCACTGATGGACCAGTGCTCATCTTTACCCAGTTCACATTGAAGATCACTGATTCCCCCATCATTCTTAAGATTAATGACAGTGACTAAGATTGCTTCTGGTGATCTTATTGCTTGAGTTATTGAGTTAGCGTCAGCATTGTCCCCATCACTGCTTGACACCATGTCAGTACAGTCTCCTTCTCTTAGGTACTCTCTCACTGCTCCTATGTCATGATTGAAGTTACCGATCTCTACCCATGTCTTTGGATAGTATTGGTTTTCAGCAATCTATGTACATAGTAATGAGCTACATTTAAAATGTCCTCTATCCTTACTTCACTTTGAAAGTACATAAGTCCCTTACCACAACCAGCAATCACGGACATTGCTTGAATTCTTGCTTCATCAGGATTTGGCTGGCGATGACTTATGATGCGACCATCAAGCTGTTTAAAAGAAATTAATTCAAATTATTATGTGTCATATACTTGTGCATCCCAGCCATCATCAAGGAGTTGGGAGTAGAGCCAGGTTGGTAATGGCATGTGGTTGTTTCTAGTTAGTCGCAAGTAATCATAGGATCCTCTTAGAGGAGGAGGATTCAGAAACTCTTGTATGTGTGGGGCACATGCTGCTACATACCTAAAAGAGAAATAATGTTTTAATGTGTACATTTGCATCCACTATACTGCATGTAGATCTATTGCTTTACTGCATGTTGTTAATGTATATCTTACATGTCCATTCCTTGAATGTCAGTCAATCCAGCAAATATTCCGTTTCTTCTTGAGCGAGACCCTCCAATGTATGTGGCTATCTCTGTCTCTTCCTCCCAAAGTGAGTCTGTAGTTTTCATTAAACTACGAAGTTGATCATCCAGCTGCAAGAAGGATTAAAACTATTCTCTTTCTCTCTCTTTCAGTGCTTACGTGACTATCCACTTCATCTCCTAGTAGTTTTGCTAGTACATTCTGACTGTTAGCAACTGAAGTTAAAGGTATATCAGTTTGGATGAGACAGTAAAAGGAGTACTGTGGTGCTAGCTTTCCTGCTATGTCTGACCCAGAGGTGCTGCTGCCACAAGGTTTGGCGGAGTTTTGTCCAAAGAAAAATGTATCAAACCCATGGTCTCTATGGAACTGATAAATGATAGAATTTTACCCAAAATTTCTGCAAATAATATTTTGATGCATTCTTGTTTATTATGGTATTACCTTATAATTATCATCTTTCACAGTCGGGAAAGGACATTCGTGAGACTTTGGATAAGCCTCAATAGGAAAATGTGCCTTCGCTATACGTAGGCCAGTTCCCAATGGTGGATCAGACCCTTGGAACTCTAGGACTACAGTGACTAGACTCCCTGGCTTTAATGCAGGAGAGAGAGGCACAGTAAGGAGAGTGGAGGCTTTGGCAGGAACAGATAAGCTTGCTTTGTTAGTGATGTCATTTGTTCTATCAGCACCATTGACAAGGACCTGCATGTATGGTAAAATAAAGTGTCACTTATAGACATCATAACAATCCATTGTTAATCATCACACCACCTAACTTACAGTTTTTATTGTCCTAGTGTCTTTATAGTCATTGTGCACATGAATAAAGAGTTGTGAATAGTTGGCATCGGTTGTGATGTAGGTTATATTGCAGGAGGTGAGCTGGTATGTAAAGTTACCCTTTAGTAGCGATGAACCTGATGAAGTCTTCAGCTCAACTAATGCAAGATTAGGTTCTTTATTAAATGAACTATCCCTGTATGCATAAGTAATAAGTATAATGCAAATAATATCATTATTGCACTTGCCTTGTGTGAAATGATATCCACAAAGGATCACCTTCTTTGACTGTTTTTGGATAAACGTGCAACCAGTCCAAATACCAGCTGTCAGGATCCTTTCCATCCTCAAATTGAACAGTTTTACCATTAAGGATCATGCTCTCAAATGTCCCGTTACCATCAGCTGTGCTGACAAGGTGAAACCTTCCTCCATTGACAGGGTCTGGTAGATTGGCCTCCTTGTATTCACTGTAAGGATAGAAATAGTCTTTCCTACATAAAAATATAAAGTGCATTATTTTATGCTAATTAAATTACCTGTAGCTAGAGTATATAACTGAAGCATTTAAAAAGGATGCAAATCCCAAAAGAACCAGCAAAGTTGCTTTCATGCTGCAGGATTTTGGAGGAGTGGCTGAGAGTATCCGTAAAATATACTGAATGAAGAATCCGGAGTCCCACGTGCTCCCATAATGACCAGAAAGAGAAAGCTCAAGAAAGAATCCAAAGGAAAAAGGAAAAGATTTAAAGCCAGCAGCTACGAGTCGGCCCCGAGAGAGCCAGGATGGAAGGGCAAAGATGATAAGGAGTTTGAGAAAGTTCGTTTTCGCCTCCCAATAAAGACAGACACAGGATGGCTGCTACAAGACCCAGTCCCACTGGAAGACAATGGTGAAGGTGAATAGTTAATCTCCTGTACTTGTGTTGTAGTAGTATAATACTCTGATACATATTGACAAATTATATGAGCAGGAAAAAAATTAATAATAATAATAATAATAATAACTTTGTTAATTAAGTTGGCAAACTTTGGTTTAATACCATGTAACGGGGACTTTTAATAGATTTTGAGAAACTTAAAAATTTGTAAAAAATCCAATTTTGATCGGAATCAGCTCAAACTTTCTACACAACATAAGTACGTGTATATGCATCAGAAAATGTAATAAAAATAAAGAATTTTCTCCTTTTCATTTTTGATATAAAACAATGTCTTGGCTGATAAAAACCACAAAACATTACAGATTGCACCCTTTTTATGACATATTTTTAATAATTTGTAGACAGTGATAAAGAAGTAGACGATCAAGTCGTTCCGGAAGATTTATCTGGTATCATATTTAAAGTATGTAAATATTAATTCATGTTGTGTGTCTAGACCATGATATGGATGATGCTGATGATGAGTTGCTAGAGTTGAGTGAAGAGGATGATGAGCTACAAGGTATGCTGTGTTTAGCAACATATTGCTTTATAATTGCTGCCAAGTTTATAGGGAATGTTGTTTCATTCTAACTGATGTGTATTATTATTGACTTTATTATTTCTTCTAGAATCATCAGAACCTCTTTTGCCTCTCAGCACAGCAGAGGTCCTGGCATCAAGAGAGATGAAACTGAACAAGAGGAAAGATCTCATTGCCGATTGCTCTTCAAGAATACTTGAGGACCCACAAGAGAATGTAACACTCAAAACGTCTTAAGACGTCTTTCTCTACCCACACTCCTCCTCTCTCCCTCTTTTCTTCCATTAGGTTCATCTCCTGAACAAGTTGTGTATACTTTGTATCGACAGGACTTCAGAGATGGCACTCACTGTACGCAAGTTGTCCATGATATCATTGGTGACAGTCTATAAGGACATCATTCCTGGGTTGGTTAGCTTTATTTAATCTAGTATCAGTTGTCAATTAGTGAACATTTTATTGAATAAATCTCAGCGACATAGAATGTATTTGGTTATATAAAATAAACTAAATGACTTTTCTCTCTATCTCTTAGTTATTGTATTCGTGATTTAACAGCTTCAGAAAAGTCGGTCAAAGTGAGAGACAAATGTTGTTACCTTGATCCATCTTGTGTCTGATTGTTGTATCACTAGGTGTCAAAGGATGTCCAGAGGTTGAGGAGCTATGAGCAGAAACTTTTACAATATTATGACAAGTATATTAGTATACTAACACAGACTGTCCAAGGTTCGTTTGAGTCTACATGTAGTGGGTTTGGGAGGATACTCGTAGATTATTACTATTATTACAGCTGGTCTTAGTGAAAAGAATAAACTCAATGAAGTGATGGTGAAAGGACGTAATTATGATATAGTGGCATTGGAATCAGGGCTGTCGATTAGTCCGACTGGTCTTGAAGTGAGTGGAGAGAGAGAGGGGGAGGGGGAAAGAGAGAACATTAGTGTTATAGTACTACCAACAGAAAATAAGAATGAGAACATAAACTGTTCACATTCATCACACACACACACACACACACACACACACTAGAACTTAAGCATGACTGCTCTTCAGTGCATATGTGAACTGAGTAAGTCATTGTATCACTTTAACTATCACGAGAGGCTCTTCTTACTATTGGCTCACGGACTAACTTCAAGCAAGCGGAACGGAAATGTAAGTACAATAATACATGACGTCAATACTATTGTGTAGTGTGTACTTGTTTATGTTTCGTGAGAATCTGTCGTGGGTCAACCAGGGTGGGGCACATTCCATGATGTATAATTAAATGTAAATACTATCAAATCCATTTAACTCTGGATTGGCTGTGTACACCGGATTCTTTCAACTATTGAGTCGTTGTTTTATTTAAAAACATTTTTTTATTAATTAATAAAGAACAGCACAGATCATGCAAATGAGTGCGAGTGTAATTAATAATAACATATCAAGTTTCTTGCTTGATCCACTCCCCACTCCCCCGGTCTCCCCACGGACAGTGGGGTTGTCCCTTGTGTCCCCATTGCTACAGCTCCTTGAAGAGGAGGATGATGGAAGGATGTCACAGTTTATGTTAGTCGGTAGCTCCATGTTGTATTTCTTCAATGCCTGACTGCACTGATCCTTGACTGATTCACACAGCTCCCTGCATGGCTGGATAATGTAAGGTGGTTCATCTCTGCACTCCGGCATGTAATAGTAACAGAGGAGATCAGTGATGTTGGGAGAACACTGCATGTAAGTTAACAGTGCAAAGTTGTTCAGTTCATATTCCACTTCATCAGCGGTTTCTTGTCCCATTGCGTTTGGGAATGTGGTTTTAGTGTAGCCAACGTCCTGACAGAAGCTGTCCTCAGGTATGGACGTACATACTGGAGGTACTGACGGTGGGGGAGTAGGTCCGATGGGTCGACTGGAGCTGGACTGAGACTGATGATGAGCAGTATGGGAATGAGTTTGGGGTGACTGAGATTGTGTGGAGTGTGAACCCTCTTGAGTGTTGCTCTGAGAATGACTGAGGGTATGAGTTGGGCTCAAGTTAGCTGAGACCATCATGCTGGATGATATTACAGGATCCTGGGGGTCTAGTATTTGCGGGTCGTCAGGCCCAAAGCACCACGGGGTGCTGCTTTTAGCTGGGAAGAGATCACAGGAGAGATGCTGGGGCCATTCCATGTTGTACTTGACCAGTAACTCGTTACAACTCAAGTAGACGTGGACACAAAGTTCCCTGCAAGGAGGTACAGTTAGCTCTGGCGGGAGATAGACCTCGCAAAGAGGGAGATAGTAAGAGCAAAGAAAATGGCGAAGGTACTGGGTGCAGTTTGAAGAGACGAGGGGAGAGAACTCTACCAGTTCTGTGTTAGCCTCTTCTTGTGTTTGATGGCCCCGAGGGTTAGGCAGACTGGTCCTGTTGTACAGTCCTTTGCACATTGGAACTTGTGTCAGCTCCTCGCATGTTTTCAGCTGAGGGAGGTCGCTAGCTGCAGTAAGGGCCAAGAGAAAAGACAGGAATGAGAGAGAAAGCTCCTTCATTGCCTCTAGCCTTCAGAATGAGTGTTGTGAAGTTTGCTTGAGCGAGTGTTTTGATTAAATGCCAAATTCCAGCTATTCCCCAAGGAAGCCTTCAATATGTAAATAAACAATGGATCATAAAATAATAATTATTATAACTTGTAATGGTTCAGTTCTCTTCTGTAGGTTGCTGCCACTTGCAAAGAGACAGTCAGCACTGTATTTAAGAATGACAGAGTTGGAGAAACATCACTTGAAGTAATAATAATAATAATAATCCTATATATCATTAAGTTTATTATAATCTTATTATATATCATGTTTATATTCAGTTACATTCCATTGTGGTTCATGTGTCTTGTTTATTCTTCTTGTAGATAGTACAACTTATCTCAAAGCTCCTAAAGTCTAGAGGATATAGCACTCGACCACAAGTGAGTCACCACGCTTGTCTTCACGACCACAGCTGCTTGCATTCTTTATATCAGCCAGTTAGCAATCCAACAGCCCATTGATTCACACCCATGGTGGCCATGTATCCTATATCTTCATTCTTTTCTCATTCTTTCCTTCGTCTCTCACTCCATAACTTGTACTTCTAATACTCTATCCTTTATTGTGATGAAATACAATCAAGATTTGTGATTAGTTAAAAATTCAAATTATGATTGTTATGGAGTATAGAGTGTCCCCTCCCTTTGCTCTCATTGCAGCTGTGCAGAGAGTGAGATTCATTATAGCTCTTTACTGCAGGTAGTACAAGTATTGCTACACTTGAACTTGCAGCATGTTGAAGAACCAGTCAACCAGTTGGGGGGAGGAGGAGGAGGAGCAAAGAAGAAACTCACCCAGCGTCAAAAAAGACTTGAAAAACAGAAAATGAATCGAAAACAAAGACGAGTAGGACAATTCATTTATTTCTATCATTTTCTTTAACTTATTTATTAGAAATTTAATGCCAGAGCACGTCTAGAGAGAGAGCTGAGAGAAGTAGAGGCAGAAGAGAGAATAGACAAGAAAGTCAAACTAGTGTGTCATCAGTAATTTAATATGTATTTGTAATTAATTATGTTTTGTTCATTTTATTCTTTTATTATTGATTTAAGTACATTTCTATTGACAGCAAACAGAAATTATCAAGTTGGTATTTATGATATACTTTCGTGTTTTGAAACAAGCCCAAGACTCACCTTTACTCAGTTCAGTTCTGGAAGGACTAGCAAAGTAACCTTACAGTATATACAGTACCAGTAGAAGCAGCAGCTATTACATGTGTACATGTACATGTAGCTTCTTTTATAATTATTATACAAAATTTTAAATGGAAAGTTTACAATGCATGATAAAGTCCATAAAGTCTCCCAAGCCTATTCTGTATACAGTTGGATATACTGTATGGTATAATGGGTTAATGGACTAATGGACTAATGGTATAATGGGTTAATGGTGTAATGGACTAATGGTGTAACGTTGTATTGGTGTTATTGGAATTTCCTCTCTCTCTCTCTCTCCAGATTTGCTCATCTGATAAGTGTAGATTATTTTGCTGATCTCATGTCAGTCCTTCATTCATTAATGGAAAGAAATGTATAATAATAATAATAATAATAATATTATTATTATTATTATTGTTATTTTATATTATGGTAGATATTGTCCTTTCAGCAGTCAATGGAATGTATTGTCACTGCTTTTCAAATCCTCTCGGGTCAAGGTATTATCTCTGTGTTGTTATTGTGCAGTATCTTCTCCCTCAGGTGAAGCACTGAATATTGACCCACGTCAGTTTTACTGTAAATTATACACTAACCTCCTCCAGTTGGACCACCGTATGTCACTTGTGCAAAAAGAATAGAATTATTATTATTATTGACAAATTGTTCTCCTTCATTTTGCAGGTACTAATCAGTATAACATGTCCCTGGTTATCAGTTGTCTGGAGAAGGTCACCAAGCAAAGGAAAAAGGTAAAACGATCTTTTAACTAAATAATTAATTATTCTGTCAAATAGCAATTTTTCATTTTGTTCACATTAAATTTATTTCCAGATATCTTCTGAGAGAGTGCTTGGTATTGTTAAAAGGATGGGTACAATGTCCCTACAATTACCTCCTGCCTCTGCCCTGGGCCTGCTGGCTACAATGAGAATATTCTTTCAAGTAAATAATTGAAGACAAATTGAGCAGTTTTGCTAAGAACCATTAGTATCAAGTTGACCATCCACTTTTATCATTTAGAGTTATAGATCTTACATTAGTGTCCTTCTTGATAATGAAGAGGAGAGTGCTGGTGGTGTGTTTAATCCAAATGTACCTGATCCTGAGGTATCATCATCATCCTCTACTAACCTATGGGAGCTAGCAACACTGAGAGTAAGGGAAGATTTAGTACCAGCTTCCTGCTGTCAGGAAATGTAATAAAAATTTGGGGTGATTTTGAGCCATTTTTTGGAAAAAACCATGGGCTATAGCCTTGGGTATTTTTCAGAATTTTGACGTTTTCTTAAATTGGCCGTAACTTGAAAAATTCAAGTCGGAATCACCTCAAACTTGCTACACAGCATAAGGACGTCAATATGTATCAGAAAATGTAATAAAAATTTGGGTGATTTTTTGGCCATTTTTTGAAAAAAACCATGGGCTGTAGCCTTGGGTATTTTTCAGAATTTTGAGGTTTTCTTAAAATGGCCGTAACTTGAAAAATTCAAGTCGGAATCACCTCAAACTTGCTACACAGCATGAGTACATCAATATGTATCAGAAAATGTAATAAAAATTTGGGGTGATTTTGTAGCCATTTAAAAAAAAAAACCATGGGCTATAGCCTTGGGTATTTTTCAGAATTTTGACGTTTTCTTAAAATGGCCGTAACTTGAAAAATTCAAGTCGGAATCAGCTCAAACTTGCTACACAGCATAAGTACATCAATATGTATCAGAAAATGTAATAAAAATTTGGGGTGATTTTGTAGCCATTTTTGGAAAAAACCATGGGCTATAGCCTTGGGTATTTTTCAGAATTTTGATGTTTTCTTAAAATGGCCATAACTTGAAAAATTCAAGTCGGAATCAGCTCAAACTTGCTACACAGCATAAGTACATCAATATGTATCAGTGATTTGGTTTTCTTTTCTATAGTCTCATTATGATCCTTATGTCTCCTGTTATGCTGAACACTTAATTAAAGGGGCTCCCTCTCAAGGCCCTGGATCACTCAGCCCTCACTTTAGCCAGAGGTATGGTATACTTCAGCCACGCCCACACATTAATAATTTTGTTTAAATTGTTTGTCCGACTAAAACAAACATTTGGGAGATCTCCTTTGTTTATTATTAATTGCATGATCCTGTACTATTGTAGCCAAATTCTTCATAACATAAGATCAACAATTTTAACATTATCAATCACAAGAACTTTGATAATTATAATTATTTATTTTCCATACAAACATGTCTTCCATCATTTACCAGTTATATTAGTATCTGTACTTTGTTATGTCATGAAATGGTTGTCTGTTTTAGTTTGTTTTTATTTTCGTTAAAGTCATTTGACCTTATTGACAGGGTCTGTCTCTGTTTATCTATTATCCAGTCATTGTGTACATACTGAAGTTACTGTATAAACAACAATATTTTTCATTAATGCTGTGACATGACTACAATAGTTACTGGTTGGTTATATTCTGTATTATTTGTGTGTTGGCTGGCAATTTGGCTGAAGCTTAGTGTAGCAGAAACATCCACAAATAACAGGATCAGAATAACGTCACTATCAGGCTGTGCATGTACTGGTATGTATACGGGAAGATAATGAATGTTATCTTGATTGCTATCACTGATAGTTCCCCTGCTGCTGTCTTTTGGAGGATGTTTACTCTATTACTGAGTTGTTTGATGTGGCCAGGATTATTGTTAAGTGATTCTCATCCCTAATTCATGCCCCAGTGTCTTATTATTTTGTCCGTATCCAACATAAATTTTTAAAATATTTTTTTGTTGGAAAGTTGTAGAACGTGTTTATGATAAAACTTACATAAAATGATATTTCACGTTTTGTAATTAAAACAACTGATTGTGAGGAACTGTAGCAATTGTTTTGATTGAAACAGTTAATTCTATCTGATGTAATTTTGATCACTCGCTTTTTCTATGTGTCATATGATGTAATGATTGTTATTGTTACGATATATAGACTCTCCATATAAACTAGACTATCCTAACTGTACAGCATTGCTTGCTAATGATCCTTGTAATTAAATATCAGCTTCAGACATGATGTGTGGATGTAGCTATGTTGAAGTTATCAGTCTAATTGACCTAATTCTCAATCAGAGACTTATTGGGAGAGCATGTAATGGGATTTAAGATACAGTTTTAGCTGATGAGAGAGGTAATTCCCCTACCATTGACCCTGGCTAGCACAAACAGATTACTCTATAGATCTCATTCCAGTATCACTACACAATCTTGTCCTTGTAATAATTATATTCACTTATTAATGGGTTTAGAATCTCTACTGTAACACAATCATGGATCATTATAATGTTGTAGTATGATACTATACTGTTGGTGTGATGTAATATGTACTAGTGACAGACAGACAATGCTACAACTCCACAAATATAAAGTATTTAATGATCACCTTATGTCAATTACTTAGGAATCCTGTCTTACTAATGGAGTCACACAGTTGGCAGTCTGTTGACCCTTTTAACAACATACCCTCTCTTAGGAAAAAGGTTAGTTATTATGAATTGCTAGTGTATCATTATTGATATCATCAATAAACAGGAGAAAAGGAACTCTGCTATTAGTAGGAAAGAGATTGGTATGACGGTTGATGGCAGATTAGATTGTATGAAAGACCATTTTAGTGGGAATTGGCGTCTACAACAATTTCTATAACTTTTAAATAACAAATAATAATAATGATGTACAGACTTTGTGTTACGAGAGAGACGAGAGAGAGAGTTGTGACACATTTAAAAATATGATTATATATAAAGTGATGATAATAATAGTAATAGTAATAATAATAATAATAATAATAAGTTATGCGTGCATTGTTTGTCATCACCCTCTTTTGCTTTTAAAAATTTATACATAAAGTACTGTCAACAAACACGTTACCACATCAGTGACTAGGTCAGAGGCCCTGCTTGTTTATCTGGTAGGCGTGGCAGAGTAAAGGTTACTATGGAATCTCGGAGGGACAGGAGGAGCCTGAGGAACAATGAGAGAGAGAGAGGGTTATACTGACGCTATGTGTCCCTGTGGGTATGCTTGCAGTACCTGATCTTCCATTGTTGTTTTGGAGGAATTATCTGGAGGAATTGGAGGTAACCCTCTACTTTGTATCTGTTACAGCAAAGGAATGTAATATTTGCATCTCTTTCTTACTTACTGTAGAAAAGGAAGGAGAAACTGATCCAGAGCCACTGAGTGAACCGTAGGATGAAGACAACTGAAATAAAGAGAGAGAGATAGGATCATACAAGACAGTTAAAACCTCATGGTGATACATATTGTAGTCAGTACCCAACTTATTAATTCACGTTATGAAAGTGGACACTGTGTATTAGAGACTGTTTATGTTTTTGATGCTTCAACCATAGAATGTTATCATCACTCATTATCCTGGCAACTAGCCTAAACATACCTCTGAGACTCCACCCCTTGTTATTGGACTGTAAGGAACTGATGTCCCATAGTGTCCTGGTGACGTGGGTAGGGGCCCAGCCAGTCCGTATGTACCGTAAGTGCTCGCCATTGGTAGAGTGGAGGTGTTTGATGGTAGCGTGTGTGATCCATACCGTCCTGACAGTGGCATTGTGGAGTAGGAGCCTGCTCCAAGTGTTGCTGTATCACCTTGAGCTTTGTTAGCCTTCAAGAAGCTGCAAATAGTCTCACTCCATTCGTTCATTTCAAAACTAGGTTAGAATTAGTGAGATATTAGTGAGATATGTGAATTATTTTTTTACAAATTAATATTATGGACCATGGTCACTTTTCATATTCAACATTCATCATGAAATACATTCATCTCTCTTTCTCTTTCTTACTGAGAAGGAGCGGAGAAATAGTACGTTCTTTCCGGTAGATAAATAGCAAAGACATTCTTGTACGTTGAGTGCTCAAGGTCTACGTCAACCTTTTCACAGAACTTTAAAGAGACAGTGCTTTTAGGCGGGCTGCTACCTCTGGCACTCTCTTCATTCTCGTAATACTGAAGGAATAACTCCCTCTGACTTAAGTAAAGTATCACCCAACGCTTCTTCCATCCCTAGCAGAGAAAGGGAGGGGGAGAGAGAGAGAGAGAGAGAGAGAGAGAGAGAGAGAGAGAGAGTGAGAGATTGCACGAGAAACAGGATGGAAGAAGAGGAGAGAGACAAACAAACAGCCATTGGATTGAGTTGTGTTATTGTATAGACAAACCCAGCTAGTGCCCATCTGTTGTTAATAACATCAATATTGATTGTCTAAAATAACACTGGCTCCACTGTATGCTGTGGAATGGCGCTATGGAATCTCCCCGTTACAAGCCCAAGGTGCTAATTACAGTTAAAACCAGTACACTAATACGCTCCACTTTCACCCTTCCTGCAGGACTCGGGGGCTAGTTAGCAATACCTTGAATACAGCAGTGTTTTTGTCCAGAGGGGGCGATTTGGTGAGGTATCCTTGCTTGAGGGTGCCGGGGATTAGGAAGCGGTTCTCCATTGCTTTATGCACAGTCTCTGTCTTGTTGTGCTGGATTTCTTCTGCTCTTTCTTTCTCTCTCTCTCTCTGCTTTGCTCGATCAGTCAGTGGTTTCCTCGTTCCTGAAAGGAGGGTCGAGCTAGTTTATTATTTATAAGCTCACTTAATAACTATTCATAACTTTATTTTATTAATTGCCAGCCACGTGTAGCTACCTTTTGGCGCATTTTGCTGTGAACATATGTTGTCATGACAACGACAGAGAAGAAACCTAATCCAATTGTCTTTTTTGATGTATCCATTGGTGGCCATGAAGTTGGGAGGATGAAGATGGAACTTTTTGCCAACGTCGTACCAAAAACTGCTGAGAACTTTCGCCAGTTCTGTACAGGAGAGCTTCTGAAAGAAGGAGTACCCCAAGGATATAAGAACGCCACATTCCATCGGATCATTAAAGACTTTATGATTCAAGGAGGGGACTACATCAAAGGCGACGGGACAGGAAGCAACAGTATTTACGGACCAAGTTTCGCTGATGAGAACTTTAAATTCAAACATGATGGCCCTGGACTGCTCTCAATGGCAAACAGTGGACCTAACACCAATGGATGTCAGTTTTTCATAACCTGTGCCAAGTGCGATTTTCTCGACGGGAAACATGTGGTTTTTGGTAAAGTAGTTGATGGATTGCTGGTCATGAGAAAAATTGAAAACGTACCAACTGGTGCTAATAATAAGCCACGCCTACCTGTTGTCATAACGCAATGTGGGGAAATGTAGAAAAGGATCTAATTTCAAACTTTTTTGATAAAATGGTACAAACAATAGTATAAAAAGTAATAATAATATTCATTAATAATTAATTGTCACAACAAATGTTTAGTAAAGGAGACATTATTTATTTAACGCATAGCAAGAGCAGCTGGCATGATTACACTAGACCAGGTGGAGTTACGTTGAACAAGTCAGCAGTCTTAACCTCAATGAATGTCCTATTAGTAAACAATAATCAACACGGCAAATAGTCATCAACCCTAAACCTTATAGATGCACCCAGTACTACCTCTATTAAAGGGACCTCCTATACTTTATATAGGATCATATTAAGATAATGTATGTAGCCCAGTTTTATAATTGAAACAGGTTTGGTTATTCAAGAAGACGTGGTTCATTCAATGTCTTACCTGTCATAAGCATAAAGTGGGCCAGTTTCAGACTCTCCTTTAGCATAGGAAATGTAGACTAGTCCTTTGGTAAGGTCATATACTGCAATGTGGAGGTCACCAGTTTGTACTATCGGCACTATCTCTTGTATTGTTATCTCGGCAGTAAGGTTTCCATGATACTTGTTTAATTGTGCCGCCAGGACTTCGTTATAACCAGGACACAACCAATCCATTCCTATTAGTAATGATAATATACTAATGGTATGTTAATCTCTTTCATTGTAATAATTCCTAAGAAATCGACTGTAACTTTCAACTTTGTACACAACATAAGATCATCCACTATAATTATCCCAGTCCCTCTATATCACATACCCCAATAGACAATGTCCTTAATACGAGGGTGCCAATCTGCTTCTGGCCTCAAGTTATCCCAGGTGAAGAAATCTGCTGTGGCTGCTGAGTATTCTACACCTCTAAACTGTGTAGCCTACAACCGAGAGGACTGAAGAGGTCCTTTAATAAGAACTGACTCTTACTTTGGCATCTCCAACTCCCAGAATGAGATTGCAGGTCCTGTGCGCAGTGCTTAACCTGGTCACTGCATCTTCAAGTGTCTTATCAAATTGCAATATGTCTCTCAGTATATACTAAAGGAATATGGAATAATGATGATATTAGCAGTAGCTAGGGAGGTATGATGTAGCCCTTACTGTAAATGGGACACCGAATCTTGACTCATGACCAAAAGTTTCATCAGGGAAACTTACTCCAATCTCTGATATAGCCAATAACTGGCTACTGAATCCTACACAAGCACACGTTAATGTCCATGTATCTGCTTGTGGTGTAGCTAGCAAGGGTTGAGCTAACCTGTGATTGATCCTATCCATCCAGTGAATCCTATATTGGCAAATGCGTGACCATATTTTGTGTCATTTGGATGATACACTGTGACTTGTGGAAAGTTTTTAAAAGGACCTGGAATCATAAAGTAATTAAAATAATAAACGTTGTGGAGGATATTGTACCGTCTACATTCCAATCCAGAGCCCTCAATTGGAGGAGTCCCCCACCTGCAGGGACCGCACTTTCATTGGCACCAAACATTGAGCAAGCTCCTTTCCTGTAGTACAATCAAACATTATGTAACCCAAGCTTACTTACGTTAGCTCTCCTATCATGTGTATCCGCTCAATCGTCTAATGTACAACAAAATAACTTTAAGTTGTTGCTATGGCTATTCTTACCTTATAAGGTGCTCCGCTGCCATCAGCAAGGCCCTTGAGCTCTTCATAAAAGTACGAGCCGGTATATGGCTTCGTGACATCAGTCTCAAGGTCCAGTGCTGCTTCAAGGCTGCATGAGGTGCAGAAAAGTTGAAATAAAAGTAATAATTAATGGTGACTGAATGCGATTATCCATGAATGGACATAGATTACTTAAGATTAATACTTTTGCATGTTAACACTAATAAGCTATTGCATGGTAGTATTCATGAAAATTGTGAAAGTTCTAAAATGCTAAGCTACTTACACTTACCCAATGTTAGCAATATCACTAAGAAACCATCCAGGGAATATATCAATAGTACCGTTGATCCCTTGCTCCTGATAATCAAGAAAAGGTAATAAAGAGAATGAGCTCTTTCTCTCTCACCACTTGGAGCTTCATGTACTCCCACACATCATGCACGAGCTCTTGTGCTTTCTCTTTCATTAGCTGACCATGAGCATAACCCATTTCATAAGGTGAACCTAAATACAAGCATAATATATAACTTAATGATCATCATTTCTCTCCATTGAAATATGCACAAAATAGTATATCAGCTAGCATACCCCACACGTGGACTATTGGAATAACATCCTCTCCATCTCCAGTCAGGAATAGCATCCCATTTTTTACTGACTTGACGAATCTTGGCGGGTCAGTGTAGATTGGGTTGAGATTAGGCTTCGCGTCTGGTGACGGCTTTTTTAACAAAAAATAAGAAAACACAACACAATTACTAGTAATGAAGTACAAACAGTTCTACCTTCCCGTGACATTCGGCAGCTCGAGCAGCAACAGAAAGGAGACACAAAGTCAGCAACTCAAGCAGCAACTTCATCTTGTCTAACCAGCCACACCTCTAACACCCACGCACAATTACATTCAACACCCACGTATAGATGTAATGACCAAAAAAATTAATTTAACATTGAGAAAATAAAATCCTTTATTAATGCATAATAGTCTCATCTTTTCTTGACGGGGAATTCTACTTGAACCACTCCTTCAATTCCAGCAGTGATAACCTGTCCTGGTACTACAGGCCCCACCCCTTCGGGTGTCCCTGTCAGTATTAGATCACCAGTCTCCAGCGTCATTATAGAACTGATATAACTTATGAGGTACGGAACAGAGAATATCATGTCGGTCGTTACACCATTTTGTTTTGTCTCTCCGTCAACTTTTAACCAAAGACGAGCTGCTGATGGATTCACCTTTTCCTTCTCAATGAAAGGACTAATGGGGCAAAACGTGTCATAGCCTTTAGCAACACTCCAAGGATGTCCGCTCTTCTTTGCGGCTGATTGAAGGTCCCGAGAGGTCATGTCCAGAGCAAGAGCATACCCGCCCACGTACTCCATAGCAGAACTTTCCGGAATATCTCTACCACTTCCATTTACGACCACACCCAGTTCAACTTCGTAATGCAGCTCTTGCACTCTCTCAGGAACCTGGCAATGCAGTCAATAAATATTTGGAGGGAGGGGCTTACTTCTATAGCTCCACCCATTTCAACGTAAGAGCTGACAGGCTTAAGGAAGAGAAGTGGCTCCTTTGGTACTGGGTTACCTAGCTCAGCAGCATGAGACCTATAGTTGGTATCATTAGTGTCGCTTGCCACTGACCTCTTATGAATATTACTGCTTATAGTTAACTCAAATATAAATTATTAAAACATTTTCCAACAATATATAATATCACCTTACCTGTAGTTCCTTCCTACTGCTATTATTTTACGTCCAAACTTTACAAAATCCTGCAAACGACCTGAAGACATAATGAAACCGCAAACCAGCCACTCCTCTTTTTTCCTCCAAAAACCACGCCCAATATTAACTCTAGACCACGCCCAGTAACAATGGCGGCACAGAACCTCGATGCAAAGGCCGAGGCTAATTCTCTGTTTGGTGGTATTGTGGGGCTCATAGTGGAACAAGGGCTCGGGAAAGGAAGGAAGCGTATTCTGGAGAAGCAGTTAGAGGAAAAGGGTGGTACAGTGGCCTTGTCTCCATCCCAAACATTAACTCATGTTATTGTTGGTCCTAATATGAAATACAATAGACTAGTGTCTCTTTTGAAGCTAAAGGATCCACTACCCCCCGAGGTTACCATAGTGACAGCTGATTGGCTCAGTGCTTCACTTGTTGCTGGAGAGAGTGTTGACCACACCCCTTACCTGTTACCACTCTCAGAAGGAACTGGCTGTGTTAGTGTCAAAAAAGTGTCCGAATTTTCCTCGTCTATTCCAATTCCTTCCCCTCCTCCTCCTGTTATTAATTCTCCCAATAAACATTACGTAATGTTAGTCCAATATGGTGACGTGTTTGTTAATGTTATTTTCAGGTTGTGGGCGTGTCCACTCCTCCCACTGGTCTAAAGCCCAGCCCACAGAAACTTACTCCAACTAAATCAAATGTAATTTATTGTACACAATGTGTATGTGATTGTGTCCATTACTCATAAAGCATGCTAAGTGAGCTAAACAGGATGAGCTTCATGAGCAGTACATGGCATTTGGAGCAACTTTAAAAATTCATAAAAAATCCAAACTTGATTGGAATCAGCTCAAACTTTCTACACAACACAAGTACATGTATATGCATCAGGAAATGTAATAAAAATTGGGAATTCTCTCCTTTTCATTTTTGGAAGAATTTGGCCTGAGTCCCTGTACTATAGTACAGGGTCTTTGGTCTGATTTCGCTGACTAGAAGATTCATGGGGAATACTATTGTCTGCTTACAAGCTGTTAATAATATTAGTATTATTTTTAGAAAAATCAACTCCCATTAAATTAAATCTAATTTTCAGTTAATTTTTAAGGATTGTTTATTTGACCCTCTCATGACCTTATTACATAGATGGATCATGTATCTCCATTGAAAGTTAGCCCAGTTGGAAAGAGGAGACTTGCAGAGCCTGACTCAGACAGTGATTATATTGAATCAGAGGAAGAGGAGGAGGAGGAGGGAGAGGAGTCCACCGGCAGATCAAAGGAAATGTTAAACCCAGAGGCACTGGCTGAACAGGGTCTGATACGCCCACTGAAAAAGAAAGTAATTAACACTTTACATTAAACTCCTAATTGCACTCCTCTTTGTTAATGTCAAGAGCACATGTACTTTTGTTATTTTGAATGCTGTCCCTTCTCTTGGTGTATTTATTGTCTCTCCAGGGTCGTTGGATGTGTCAAGTACCAGCTTCAACTCTTCATGCACAAGTCAATCACAACGAGGCTGTCACTAGCAAGTTAGAGGTAAGACATGACCAACAATTTATCACTGTTTTCCTTTTTATCTTTCAATTCTCTCTCTTACACTCTCTTCTCAGGAGCTGTTGCTTGAATATAAGAATTCCAGTTTACCCAAAGACAAGTGGAGGGCGATGAGTTTGACTAAAGCAGTAGCAGCTGTCAAACGTCATCCAAAGGAAATAACAACCCACGAGGTATGAAACTAATAATAATAATGGTAACAATAATAATCATTGTTTCATGTGCTAAGTACGACGTGTACAGGTAGTTCTTTATAACATTGACTGGACATTTAGCACTTTAGCATTATTTATGATATAATAATGTTACACTCACACTCACACACACACACACTCACACACACACTCACACACACACTCACACTCACATTCACACTCACACACACACTCACACTCACACTCACACACACACACACACACACACTCACACACACACTCACACTCACACTCACACACACACACACACACTCACACACACACTCACACACACACTCACACTCACACACACACTCACACTCACACACACACTCACACTCACACTCACACTCACTGGTGACTGGTGGTTGGTTAGAGGCACGAGACTAGGATTACAGTTACAGTACAACCTGTCAACATAGTATTCGTCTCCATACACACACGTATAGCTTATTAATGAATTCCTGTTATATCATCATAATGAGAATTGAATGTGATCTTTTATTCAAGAGAAATATCCACGTCAGGTTTAAGGGTCACATATACTCGTACTTTTAAGACTGTGATGTATTTAATAATAATGACTTATAAGAATCCTAAGTGTTTTGTGTTAGATGTTCATATAGAAATGTTAATTTGAATTTTTTCACATCAGTTCAATCAAAGATCCATAAACATTTTAATCTTTATTTTGAGTCAACACAATGTGAAATCTAAACCTTACAAGTATTATTCACAACTATTAAATCATTCTGTGCATCAACTGTACATGTACATATGATGTCTGAGTTGGTTCGGTGTGTTAGCTTGTTTGGTTGTGGTTTTATGTGAATTGGTTGCTTGGCCCTTGAGTCTCTTTGTTAAGGAGCTGGCCTTTGGGTTGGCAGGGCTCAGGAGGATCGTCCAGTTTTTCTCAACTGCCAAATTATTTTGTTATTTTTTGTGATTACATATAAAGCTAAAGATACTAAAAACACCTAATGGCTGCCACATGTAAAACTGATGCACCTGGAGCAAAACTCCTTTGTTATTCACATCTTTTTGACATGACATTTACCTTGCTTTTAGCCATGAAATACATCTCCCTCTCTCTCCCTCTGCCCCCTTTCCCTCTCCCTCCCTCTCACCATAGGAAGCTCACAGTATTCCATTTGTTGGTAAGAGACTTGCTGATAAGATTTATGAAATAGTGTCCAGTGGTCACCTTCGTAGATTGGACCACATTGACAAAGCAAAACAGAGTGTGATTGATCTGTTCAAAGGGATACATGGGGTAGGACAGATTGTAGCTGAACAGTTCTATGCTCAGGTTAGTGGAATAATTAAGAGAGGGAGAGAGGGAGAGGGAGAAGTCTAAGTTATAATGATTGTTAATGATTCATTGGTCCAGGGTTATAGGACTCTGGATGATCTCAAAGAGGCCAACATTCTTAACAGGCAGCAGCAAATCGGGTTTAAGTATTACCATGAGTTTGCTGAGAGAATGGATCGATCAGAAGTAGAGGAAATTGAAAGGAAGGTGAGAGACAAAGGGAGGGCAGGATTTAAAGACATGAAAGAGACAATATACACTGCTGTTGCCATGATACAGTTGCTATGATACTGTTGCCATGCTACTATTGCTAAGGCAACTACTATTTTTACGACTAAATCAAACAATATCCTTTAGGTCCGTGAGGGTTGTCACTTGCTAGACCCAAACCTAGAGGTGGTGACCTGTGGGTCATTCCGAAGAGGTAAACCGACGTGTGGTGATGTGGACATATTAGTGACTCATCCTGATGGAAGATCACACAAGGGAATATTCCAACCTCTGATAAGAGTACTGAAGAATGATGGTGAGTGAGTATAGCCTGATGTTGAAAGGAGTGGAAGTTTGGATGATAAATACCACCAGCCCTCATTTGTTTTCATGATCTAATGAGCTCTTGTTTTGTTGGTTGATCGTATAAGCATTGGCATATGTCACATTCCTGTTGTAATCACAAAACTGGAAGAAGTGAGCCCACACTACAAACGGTTGTGTGTGTGTGTGTGGCTCTCTCTTTCCCCTTTGCTTCCTTTACTAGCTCATCGAGTGATGCTCCTATGATCAGTGACTGTGTCACCCTTTCAAACTAACCATCATTAAGACATTGATAATGATTTTTATGCTGTTTTTTGAGCTGTTAAAAGCCTTCATTCTAATTATAGCCTGAGGATGAATCCAACACTTACAAATCTTTGTTTTCATTCTCTTTCTCTCTCTTGTGGTATGCAATAACTGAACATACTCACTCTACTCTTTGACACTGTGGTATGGTGTACCTATGTAGACTTAGTGTGTCACTTCAAAGCTCCCTGTAATTGAATAATGGTTGCAATCCTTAGTATTTTGTGTCAGTAATGTTAAGTTGTTTGATCATGTACCTGTAGTGTATCCTCTTTACACGAATTAATGTTTGTCTCATCTTCTAACCACAGGCTTTCTGACCGATGACCTCACGCTCCATGAAGACACCAGTGACGGGTCTTGTAAATATTTTGGAGTTTGCATGTTACCTGGTGATGGAAGGAAGGTAGATTTGACCAGCTGCAGATTATTATTATTATTAATATGATATAATTATTGAGAGGGGGAGAGAGAGAGAGGGTAAATTGTGATTGGTGAGGGGGAAGTGAGATAATGTGGGAGACATGTAACAGGTTGGTAGTGTTTGGGTACACGGATTCACTCGTCTTCTGGTTTGTTGATTTTGATTTTGTTGTTTCCTAACTTTTGCCTTTTTAGCACAGACGGATTGACATATACATATGCCCTTACTCAGAGTATCCACTGATGCTCCTCCATTTTACAGGATCAGGTCATTTCAATCGCTCTCTAAGGAGCAGAGCTGACAAAATGGTTGGTCTCTCTTTTATATCATATTTATTATTGGGTTGGGAATGAAACTAAAGAGAGAGAGGACACAATAGATATATAGAGATATCTTTTTCTATCTTTCTCTCCCCCTCCCTCTGTCTCATGTCTTGTCTGAGTCTGATGAAAGGATTGTTAGTATACACAAGTCTCTTTATTTCTCTCTCTCTCTCCTCCTCTCCTTCCTAGGGGATGTCCCTCTCAGAACACTCACTGAATGCAGGTGTAGTAAGAAAAGTAATATAATATCATTTAGGGACTCATAATCATTTCTTTATATGCCAGAATGGCGTAAAGGTTTTTGAAGGGACCCCGTTGCCAGTTTTTACTGAGGCAGACGTTTTTAAGTACCTCGGGGTAGATTATTTAGAACCACACGACAGAGACTTAGATTAGAGATACAACTGGTGGACAGTCATAATAGAAATATTGAGGTTCTAATTGTCACTCTATAAAATTCTATTATTTTATTGTCTGCTATTATTAATTTTGTGTTGTCTTAATTTATATTTTGTACCGGATTAGTCTCGTCTACTTCGAGTCTGTGGCTTTCTACTAGCAAAAAGGAAGCTTCTTTTCTCTTTGGCCCTCTCTCTTCTCTTCGGCTCGTTAATCTTGCTCATTGAGCGTGAAAACTTGGTGTCAGAGAAAAGCAAACAAAAGCAAAAGGCGCTCGTTTCTACCTCCAAAACAGCACATCCGCCCGCGCACCTTCACCGCACGAATTATCTTATGAATAGTCATAATTATCATAGCTCAGGAATGACTATATAAATCCATCGGCCCGTGCTTTCTGCTGCTGCTAAGAGAACAGTCCTCTCTCTGATACCCAAGATAGCTTGAGGAACAGAGTCTTCAAAGCCCATACATCCTAGGTAAGCTCGCACGGAGCAGGCGAGGAGCGTGCGAGGTTGACATGCAATCCCTGACCTTTCTTTCCTCCACTTTAGGCACAACCCGGGGCTGGGAGAACTCCATCGGCTCCTGCAGGACAGATGTGAGTTAAGTATGTAGCGGTTTGGGCTCAGCTGGTTGTGTTGTGTTCGTCTGGGAGGGTGGGAAAGCTTGAGTGAGTGAGAACTCACCACAAGCCTTAATTTTGAACCTCTCTCTCTCACTCTAAGCCTTACAAGCTCCCTCCCAATGGAGCTCGAGTTTGTGTTGATTGTTGTTATTATGGCCAGCCTTGTGTGTGTATGTAGGGACAGAGTTGGTGTACCAATTACAACATTTATTCAATGATAAGAGAGAGAGATAGTGCCAGTATGCTGCATATATATGTATGCTCCCCGTTGGTATAATGGTGATTAAGATCTTGACTGTTTTAAAATTCAAACATTATCTCCAGCAATGATGATGATACATTGCAACAATGAATTCACTTCTCATATTCATCTCTCTCTCTCTCTAATAGGGAGTCACTCTTTACTAATGGTCGTCGTCAGCCTGCTCCTCCATCAGTTCCTCCTGTCTCTTCATTCTGGCAGCCTCCTTCAGTTGGTCCTGTCCATCAAGCTCACCTTCATGATATGGAGTATCACCAGTTTGCTGTTGCCCAACCCACTCACACTATGACGTCCCCGCCCAACACTCCAATGACTCCTCACGTCGGAGGAGGAGGATTCCCCGGGCTCATGTGCCCCATTGATCACCACACTAGTGCCACACCTACTGGATCAATCGGACTACATCAAAAGTATGTACACATTACATTGCTATAGTTGGGATATGTGTGTGTGTGTGTGTGTGTGTGCCTGCCTTGTGTTAATGTGTATGAGTATAGAGTGTTTGGAGGTTTAAGAATGTGGTCTCTGGTTTCGTTAGTATTGCCACTGTTAGCTCAAAGTGGCAATTGTCACAGTTTGTTATTATCCTGTTAGTCGACAGAACACAGTCTTCCCCTTTGCCATCTGTCTGGGCTTGTCCCAGCGTAGAATGAAATACATGTACTACGCATGGCCACCACATGCAGTCTGTTATTCTATTATTAGTGTATTAGGTCCAGTTTATGAGAGCCATTCTCTGTATTAGTCCTGTATGTAATACAGGGGCTCTGTGTGTGTGTCTCTGTACATTATGTCTCTTATGATGAGTTATACTGGCAGCCTAACTCATTAAACCCAGTCCTAGTCTCCCTTAACTAATAGAGCTAGGTCTAGGGTGACCTCTGGGGCCAATACAGGTAGTGAGAGATAGAGAGAAGGTGTTGCAATGGTCTCTTCACAGAGCCTTAGGCACGTCCTCCTCTGATAAGCTGGATTCTTGAGGGCCAGTCCAAGAGAGAGAGAGGGTATTCATACCTCACCTATCAGGGAGGGCAATCTCATACCCCAGGGAAAGCTCTTGAGATAGCCAAAATCATTACTGGCTTGTCCTTACTACAGACAAGTTGGGTTGATCTCTTGAAGGAGCTCAAGAGGGTTTGGAGCATCTACAATCATACTGAGAACACAATTGCAATAACTAGTACCTGCCCTCACTTGTGTGACCAGCCTACTACCCGCCTTGTAGCTATAGCTGCTAACACAACATGGGCCAGGCTCTTGAGTGCCCTGTCTTTGTATCAATGTGATAACTGAACTAATAATCCATTGTCTACTCTGTGTGTGTGTGTGTGTGTGTGTGTGTGTGTGTGTGTGTGTGTGTGTGTGTGTGTGTGTGTGTGTGTGTGTGTGTGTGTGTGTGTGTGTGTGTGTGTGTGTGTGTGTGTGTGTTTATTTCTTTCTCTCTCTCTCTCTCTCTCTCTCTCAGTTCTGCTCCTCCAGCTCTCTCTCATTCAGCATGGCCTCCTGAGTATAGACTGTATGCTCTGTGTCAGGAAATGCTTCGTTACTCATCTCAAGTAAATATGAACTTGCAGTATCTCAATAAATATCATTTTCTTTCCATCAGTCGCCGGGTATGGCTGATAGCAGCAAGCTCTCCTGGGAGCAGTTCTGTATGGAGTATTTTCATGAAATGGCAATCTTTGTCATTGAAGTTGATTTCGGCGACGGTTTGAAAAGATACAGTGAGTATTATTATTTTTATGATGATGAAGCCATTAATTATCACAATGACGTATTTAATGCATGACTTTATTTCATTAAGAGCCTGCTAGTTGAATATTTTAATAATTAGTTGTCTTTTTGACATTTTATTTTGAATGCATCATCGCCAAAAGGTATTTCCACATTCTTTTTTAATAATAATAGTGTCTGCTATATTATTTATCATAAATGAATGAAGCATGACAATGACACATTTATTGAAGAGTAGTACAATGTGCTCTATGTTGTATTTCTCTCTCTTCCTCCTTAGGTCTTCACGGTACGTTGATCATGTGGTACTTTAAGAGTCTCATAGAAAGTGGAGTGACTCGTTATGATGTCACATTAGGGAAATCAGCATCACATTCATATCAGCAGCACATGCAGAGAATAGAGTGTCCAGAGGCAGTACAGGAATTGGAATATACTCTGCCAACTCAAACTAAAGCAAGTTCTAATGGAGTAGAGTGTGTCTCTGTTACTCATGATGACCTGAGCTGATGAGTATTGACTTGATCTGTTGAGTTTGTCAAATGGCCACTAGTGAAATATGACCCAAAATTCACAGGAAGAATCCTAATCTTGCTCTTTTACAAAAAAAAGCAAAAACCAGTTATTTGATGCAAAGTTGAGCCAAATTTGAGCAGACTTATGTAGATTCCTTGTACAAAACCTTTAAGATTGTGTGTGTGTGTGTGTGTGTTTTATGGGATATGTTCTCTGTGTGTTAGTGTGAGTGTGTTTGAAGTGTTTGTGTCTTGATTAGTATAGTCTGTCCTCACTGTACCTGTTTGATTGATTGTGTATGATCTATATGAAGGAGTGATGATGACGCAATCACTCTAGAATAAATAAATATAATTAAAGTAATTATAACAAATAAATAAATAAATAAATAAATAAAACTCAACTTTGTAGCACTTAATAGTTTAAATTGTACATACACCATGTAGCAATTTACAGTCTATAGCTATGACAGCTCAAAAGTATTATCACGCATAATTTTGATACCTTAATTATTATGATACCTTTGAATATTATTTCCATTTCTTGCTTGAGATATAGAGAGTAATCATAATGTATTAAGAAGAGTATCACTTGTGTGTGGTTGTTCTCTTATTGTGTGGAATAACATTAATGGCTGGTGTGTTATGTCAGGGAGTGGCCACAGACCAGATAAAAGGGATCCATCATTCATATTAATGATCATTAGTACCTCATTCCCTTTGTTGTGTGATGATAAAAGAGACAATCCCTTTACTCTACCTCACCACCACATTAAGGAGGAATGGTCTATATACATATACTTCCTGAGGAAGGCTCTGCATGTGACATGGAGGGGTGGGCAAAGACCTAACTGTTAAGTCTACTAGTGTTGCACCAACCCGAGTCTTGTGTAACCCAAACAGCTTGTTGTGGTACTAATGCAATAGCAGTTCATGGCTGCCTTTTATATGAGGGAATATCCTATAGAGAGACTGTATATTTCTCAGTGTGTGTGTGTTATGAAAGTAGCACAACAAGTGTTTGATAACATTTTTGTTGTCCTTTTGAAGTGTAGAGCATATGTCTCTGCCTCTGTATGACTATACATATACATGTATGTTCTTCAAAATTGTAATTTTATGCATCTTTTTTACTCTCTTTATATTAAAGGTTTGCTCCAAAGGCCAGCTGGTACTGGAATTCACAATGGAGGACAAGCCACGGATAATGTCTTGGGTTTTTCATATACAAGGACACGTGGAGATGATACCTAGGTTCTGTCTACAGGCACCTGCTATTGTAAGAGGGGGGGAGGGAGGGAGGAGCTAACACTTGCAATAGAGAAAGATACGTGTATCATGATCATGATTATTGTTTGTAGGATACTGCTCTTTCAAATAATGTCACCTGTCAAGGTTTACCGGCCTCAACGCAATCCATATTAATGGTGAGAGAGAGAGAGAGAGAGGTAGGGTGGTAGTAAATTACTTGTTCTATTTTTCTGATATAGCAACTTAATAATATAACGATGAGACCCGCCCCACCTCATAAACTGGTTCAAATTGATTCCAATTTATGGGAGCACCCTCCCCCTCCTCCTCCCCCCTCTATCCCTCCTTCTCAACACGACATGCTACAAGGTGATCGCTATCCTCATGAAGATAACCTAGTAACCTTATCTTCAGAATCTTCACCAATGCTAACGCACCTACCAACGTCCAGCAATCAGGACTCCTCACTCCTCCCCTCACTGCCCCACCCCTCTTGCCAAGTACAGAGTAACTCAGTCCCTCCTCTCTCTCATGCGGTTCACTCCTCGTCTTCTCCCCCTCTCCCTCTCTCTCCCTCGCTGGTCAAGAGTAATTGCAGCAGCTATGGTGGCAGTTCTTGTAGTGTTGTCAGTAACAGTAACACACTTTGTCCCAATAAAGTGACTCAATCAGGGAAAAAGACCCGACCTTCCTCTCCAGTTAGGAGGAGGAGTGAACTAGTGATGGTTGCTGCTGAACCAGCTCTCTTCTCAGGTTAGGAGATTAGCAGCAATGATGATGATCATCATGATCATCATCATGATGATGATGATCATGAATTGATTTATATGAAGGTTTTAAAGCACCTAAAGCACCTACTGTATATCCTCAAATAAAAGCCCAGGTCTATATTATAAGCCAGAGGTATCATACAATATGATCTTACAGTATATAAAGTATAGGGGACTCTCTTGATAGAGCTACTGTGTAGGACTTTAAGATGCTCTGAGCTTTTGTTTGAGGATATGCAGTGGGTTTTTTAAATGCTAATTCTCCCTTTGTTGTACCTCACGCCCACAAAACAACAATAACAATAATTCTATGATGTCAGAATAAACATTATTGTATCAAAAGAGGTCATGGCCTCTCTCTCTCTTTGTTTGTGTACAAAATGAATGAATTAATGGACAGAATTGGATGATAATAGTCTGAAGGGAATGTTACCATTAGGACAATACAAACTGCATTAGTATGGCATTGTGATCTTAACTAGTCAACACATTGATACACTGTATCCTCCAGATGTGTACACATGTGTGTGTGTGTGTGTGTGTGTGTGTGTGTGTGTGTGTCCATATGCCCACTGAGACCCTCTCTCTCTCTCTCTCTCTGTGTGTTTTTATTCTTAATATTTTAATATTGTGAGTATTCTTTGTTTGGAGTTTGGAACTTTCCCTTTGACTGTCTGTGACTCTGTATTAATGTTTATTTTATATTTTGACTTTACCCTCTCTCTCCCTTTCTCCCTCTCCCCAGAGGATATGGTTCACGGACAGGACGAGAGGAGAATAACACGTATTGATAATAAACGTGCAATAACCACACCCACATCCTCTTTCATGGGTACTGTTTCTATTCCTCCTCCTCCTCCTCTTCCTGTCTCCAATGGTGAGTCTGATCCTCCTCCTCCTCCCATTAGTTCTTTTACCAATCAAAATGGGTCCATGGCTTGGCTTAGCATTCCCTCGGGGATCGACTGGAATAAAACTACCCCGTGAGATGACCACACCCACTTGACAATGATAACCACACCCACCCAAATAAGGTTAAAACTTATTTTGTGCACTTTCTCTCAAATTGTACATATTATTATTATTAATATTATTTTTGTTATTTTTTTTCTATTTTTTTATGAAGATATTATTATTAATTTTTGTTGAGTCTATTTTCTTTTTGCGATTACTTTAGTCGCAAAAGTATTTATACAAACAGAAGAAAGACCAAATATTTTTGTCTAAAAATTTTGATTAATAAAAACTTTTCACATTATTTTTGTCACATGAATCATCTCTTATAAGATATTATTATTATTAAATATTATTATTAAATATTAATATTACTAATATTATTATTATTATTAGAAACATTAATAAATATGAGAAATATCTACAGCTGAAACTTAACTGCAGTTATTGCCACATAAAATGTTTTACTGCTCAATGACAAAAGGAATGTTTTCATTATAATTAAAATGATCTGTTGCTAATCAAAAGATGAAATGACTTTCTTAATGATGGACACTGCTTCCATTAGCTGTGTCTCTGTGATGATGAGGGGAGGAGCAAACCGAATGATGTCATCGTGAGTCGGTTTAGCTAGTAGCCCGCTATCCCTCAGTCTCAGACAAACAGTCCAAGCATTAGCATCTAGAAGAGGGAGAAAGAGAAATAAAACTGGCAATGGACACAAATAAAGCCAGCCATTATGATTATTATGTTCAATGGGCATTAATTAGAAACTATTAGCATTTGAAGAGCAGTTTGTCACCTTTTCATATATAGACATTACTGACCGTTGGATAGTCTCTTGATGACAAGAGCATGTAGAAGACCCCTCCCTCTAGTGGCTGATACGATGGAGGCAGGTAGGTCCCTCAACTCTCTCTCAAGGATAGATCCAAGTGCAGCTGCATTCTCAGTCAATTTCTCTTCAAGAATTACCTGAAAAAAATATTTTGAGTTCCATACTGACTGAGCTGCTGTGATGATACATATTGATGTCCTTATGCTGTGTAGCAAGTTTGAGGTGACTCCGACTTCAATTTTTCAAGTTACAGCCATTTTAAGAAAACCTCAAAATTCTGAAAAATACCCAAGGCTATATAGCCCATGGTTTTTTCCAAAAAATGGCTCCAAACTCACCCCAAATTTTGATTAAATTTTCTGATACATATTGATGTACTTATGCTGTGTAGCAAGTTTGAGGTGATTCTGATTTGAATTTTTCAAGTTACGGCCATTTTAAGAAAACATCAAAATTCTGAAAAATACCCAAGGCTATAGCACATGGTTTTTTCCAAAAAATGGCTCCAAACTCACCCCAAATTTTGATTAAATTTTCTGATACATATTGATGTACTTATGCTGTGTAGCAAGTTTGAGGTGATTCTGATTTGAATTTTTCAAGTTACGGCCATTTTAAGAAAACATCAAAATTCTGAAAAATACCCAAGGCTATAGCACATGGTTTTTTCCAAAAAATGGCTCCGAAATCACCCCAAATTTTTATTACATTTTCTGATACATATTGATGTACTTATGCTGTGTAGCAAGTTTGAGCTGATTCCGACTTGAATTTTTCAAGTCACAGCCATTTTAAGAAAACGTCAAAATTCTGGAAAATACCCAAGGCTATAGCCCATGGTTTTTTCCAAAATATGGCTCTGAAATCACCCCGAATTTTTATTACATTTTCTGATACATATTGATGTCCTTATGCTGTGTAGCAAGTTTGAGGTGATTCCGACTTCAATTTTTCAAGTTACGGCCATTTTAAGAAAACCTCAAAATTCTGAAAAATACCCAAGGCTATAGCCCATGGTTTTTTCCAAAAAATGGCTCCAAAATCACCCCAAATTTTTATTACATTTTCTGATACATATTGATGTACTTATGCTGTGTAGCAAGTTTGAGGTGATTCCGATTTGAATTTTTCAAGTTACGGCCATTTTAAGAAAATGTCAAAATTCTGAAAAATACCCAAGGCTATAGCCCATGGTTTTTTCCAAAAAATGGCTCCAAAATCACCCCAAATTTTGATTACATTTTCTGATACATATTGATGTCCTTATGCTGTGTAGCAAGTTTGAGGTGATTCTGACAAATATTTTTAAAGTTACGACCATTTAAAAAACTACTGACTATCAGTAGCCCATATATCCTGTCACTACTGTCATAATATGATCAATGATGATGATACATGATCATACCTTCATACTGGCCATAGCCACTTTGCAGGCAAGAGGACTCCCACCATAAGTTGATCCATGCTGTCCTGGTCTAACAGTCAACATGACATCATTGTCAGCCAAAACTGCAGAGATCTAAGGAATCCACAAGTACATGTGTAGATACAGTACAGTATGTACTATCATTACACACACACAATCATCCATTCATTGATTCATTCATTGATTCATTCATTGATTCATTCAGTCATTGATTCATTGATTCATTGATTCATTCTTACAGGAAACATTCCTCCTGAAAGAGCTTTGCCCAGTACAACCACATCAGGTCGAACACCTTCATGATCACACGCCAATAATCTGTTGGTAATAATAATAATAATAATAATAATAATAATAATAATAATAATAATAATAATAGTAATTTAGTTTAATGTTGTACGTCTACAACATGATGTCTGAGAGTGTAGGACATACTTTCCAGTTCTTCCCAATCCGGTTTGTATTTCATCAGCAATGAATAAAACCTGTAGAGGGAGAGAGAGTGGGCAGTGGCCTTATAAAAATAAATATTCATTTACTAAAAGAGACAAAGCTGGAATGAAACCACAGGTTGATGCTATTAGTAAAGTCAACAAGATAAAGACATGTAAAATAATGTTCAGTGGGAGTTGAGTAGGGGCCTGTGTACATATACATTAAGGACTATTGTGATACTATGAAACAGCATCAAATACACAATTGGGTTCCTAAAAGAATACCACCTCTTAGGTATAGAGGGATCTAATTGGAGACACTTACATTGTTAGCTTTACAAAGATCAGACACTTTCTTTAGGTAGCCATCTTGTGGTAAGACTACACCTGCTTCACCTTGGATTGGTTCCAGCATGAGGCCAGCTACCGTGGGATCAGTTAGAACCCTCTAAGAGAGGGAAGGAGGGAGGGAGGGAGGGAGGGAGGGGGAAAGTGTAGCAGGTGTCAGAGAAATTAAAGAAAAAGGGATGAAAGAGAGAGAAATATGCAATGAGTGAATTTTGCTTGATAAATTTTGTGAGATGCATTGTTGGGTGGAGTTTATTGAATGAAATGATCTGAATGTGTTAATAAACTATATCATGCTAGAGTTAGCCCCTCCCACTATTAGCTCCACCCACCCAGCTGATATTGGACTCACTTCCAATGCCTCTACGTCATCATACGGTACAATAACAAATCCTGGCACATAAGGACCATACCCGCCATAGTTCTCAGGATCAACAGAACTGGACACTGCCGCTATTGAACGGCCCCAGAAGTTACCCTCAACAAAAACAACCTTAGCTTGGTTATGGGGGATACCCTTTACATCATAGCCCCACCTCCTAGCAAGTTTAACTGCAGTCTCAGCTGCCTCCACTCCTGAATTCATCGGGAGGAGCTTATCGTAGCCGAAAAGCTTTGTCATAAATTCCTGATACCCCCCAAGTGTATCTGTATAAAAGGCCCTTGAGGTCAGGGTGAGTGTATGAGCTTGGTCCATCATTGCTTGGACTATCTTTGGGTGACAGTGGCCCTGATTGAGGGCAGAGTAGGCACTGAGGAAGTCCAAGTACCTCCTTCCCTCAACATCCCATACGTGGACACCCTCTCCCCTAGCTATGGCCACAGGTACAGGTTTGTAATTATGAGCCCCGTAAGACAGCTCTCGTTCGATGACCTCTTCTGTGCTAGAGGAGGAGGAGGAGGCTTCTCTTGCAGAGGGTCCAGATAAAGCCCTCAGTGGCTGGCGTCCAGCAAAAAAGGAATTGAAACGAAGAATACGACCCAACCTAAATGCAGCCATCTTTAGAACAAAAGACAAAACCACACCCATTTTAATTAGAATAGGCGTGGCTTGAAGAGGTGTGTCTACTTTTTGTAAAGAAGGCAAGATGTCGGTTGATCTGAACAGAAACGGTGCGGCTCTTAAAGAAGCTTATGATGCGGTTATTGATGACAAATCAGATACTACCTGGTTCGTATTAACCTTTGATGTACACCTACAGTATAATCATAGCCTATATCTAGTGCATTTCATAGTTATCTTAATATTTAATATTCCTCCACAATTTCTCATTCTTTATTCTTAGGGCAGTTTTTGGTTACATGGGAAAGACTAATGAGCTGAAAGTGGTAGAAACAGGAGGTAAGAGTCACTGCATTAATGTCTATATAGTCTGTGTTAGAGCTTACTTTGACATCTTCATTACCCTCCCCCCCTCTCTCTCTTTACAGATGGCGATATTGAAGAAGCTGTTGAAGAGCTAAGTGGTGGTCAAGTGATGTATGCTTTCATCAGAGTCATTGATCCAAACACTCAACTACCTAAATACGTCCTTATCAATTGGGTACTGTAATATGTCGACTAATCATGTGATAATCATGTGACCCTGTAGATTGGTGATGGGGTACCCACATCACGTAAAGGGGTTTGTTCTCGCCACGTCACTGATGTCGCAAGGTTTCTAAGAGTAAGAACCGAACTACATGTACATGTACAGTACATCCCCTCACTTTTATTCAGACTTCATCAACTCTTGTATTGACATCAATATTTACCTTGTTGTTGTTATTATTATCATTATTGTTGTTGTTGTTATTATTTGTTAGGGAGCTCACGTTACTATTAATGCTCGTCATGAAGATGATGTGGAGAGTGACATTATTCTTGATAAAGTGTCCAAGTCCTCAGGTACTGTATCTCATTAATATTCATTGTTTCTATTTTCTGTTTGTCGTGTTATTTCTATTCGTTGTGTGTGTGTGTGTAGGTGCCAATTTCAGTTTCCATAAGGAAAAAGCTAAACCCATTGAAGCCCAAGGAGAAGTTGTATGTTATATAGAAACAAGCTAACATGCTCTATGTATGTATGTGTATTTCTGTAGGGGTCGGTCTATAAGAGAGCTAATCCTCAGAAGGAGATCAGCACTAAATCAAGGGATGAGTTTTGGAGCAAACAAGAGGTTAACACTCTCTTTCCCTCTTTCCTCCTCCCTCTCTCTCCTCCTCCCTCTTTCCCTCTCTCTCTCTCTCTCTCCCTCCCTTTAATGGTTCAGCTGCCATTTCCTTTTATGGGCGTCTGTTGATTCTTACTGTTTTATTTCTCTTTCAGTTTGTGTACTTACCCTAGCATTGTTGTTTGTGTAACTCTAATTGCTCTTTTTCCACCAACAGTATACAAAATAATGAATTAATAATAATAATAATAATAATAATAATAATAATAATAATAATAATAATAATGACATTTATTAATAGAGAGAAGAGGAGAAACGTGTTGCAGAAGAAAAGAGACTCACGGCTGAGGCCAGGAAGCAGGAAGAAGTTGAGAGGAGAGAGCGTGAAGTGAGTTTAAAATATATAATAATAATAATAATTATTATTATTATTATTTTATTGCACTAGATTGCTGATCAAAGGCGTCGTGATGAAATCACTGGAAAGAAAGCTTCAGAAATTGCCGAACAAAAGTACAAATTATAATAACATATCAAGATCTACAACTTCATTAAAATGATTGCAATGTATTTGTTTTTAGGAAGCAAGAGCAAGAGAGAGAAAGGAAAGAAAGAGAAGACACTGAAGCTCAGCTAGTAAGTTTTTGCTTTGATATGGCAAAGTGTTTTTATATTTGCAAAATGAAGCACGGCGGAATTAAAGTTCAATGTAAATCTCATATCAATTAATCATTTTTTAGCAAAGTCGACTTAAAGAACGTGAACACCGAGTGGATTCTGAATTAGAAAAGGAGAAGACACAAAGCCAGCGACAGAAGGCTCAGGTTAGTTATATACTTGAGTTGTGTGGTGGACTGTCTGGTTACTGTGCAGCAATCACTATCTGTCATGACTGGTTAATCTTTAATGCCAATTATGGCAACTATGGTTGTAGTAATTAGGATGATATTTCATTATGAAATGAGCTGGAATTTTGTCATAATAATTATTGCCACTATTATTATTATCATTAGGATAAGAGTGTTAGTTCTGGTGTAAGAGACAAGTTGGCTGGGTTTGAACAGAAAGCTGAAGAGCAGAGAAGAGTGCCACCACGTCCAGCACCAAAACGTGTTGCTAAACCACCTCCACGTGTTCCAGAACCAGAGCCTGAACCAGAACCAGAGCCTGAACCGGAGCCAGAACCTCAATATGAGCCTGAACCAGAACCAGAGCCAGAGCCTCAATACGAACCAGAACCAGAGTATGAGCCTGAACCGGAACCAGAACCAGAGCCTCAGTATGAGCCGGAACCAGAGGAAAGTGAGCAGCTGTATGACGATGTGACTCAGCCTCCTCAAGAAGACGAGGGTATGGATCAGATATATGATGACGTCCAACAAGTTGATACTGATTATGGACAGCTGGAGGATGCTTATGCTGAAGAGCCTCAGGTGAGTGTGCCCCTCTAATTAATGACTTAATTAACCTTGCTATTGTAGGATCAGATATATGATGATGTACAGGAGGCTCCTGGTCAAAGTGACGTAAGTTTTTTGTACTTGATTCTTGTACTGCTTCTTTTCTTAGGGCGTGACCGCTAAGACATTGTACGATTATGAAGCAGGTAATGTATTTACAAGTTTAAGGACAACCTATCATTTGTTTATATTTATTGTAGAGGATGATACTGAGTTATCGTTTGATGTTGATGAGATTATTACTGATATAGAGCAGATTGATGATGGATGGTGGAGGGGAACCAGACAGCTTGACGGGTCCAGTGGCTTATTCCCTGCTAACTATGTTGAACTGATTTAAGAGGGAGAGGGAAGGTTTCTTGTATTTAGTTTTGCGCTTGATTTTTCTTATTTTTATGTAGAAACTATTTTTTATATTTTATGCTGTTTATATAGTTAGCGAGTTTTCATGACCCACGTGTTATCACGTGTTAGCCACACCTTGAGAATCATTGCGCATGCGCAGTAGGAAAGGCACAATTCAAAGTTTCAAATTTATTAACAATGTCTTCCAAGGAGATACTCGCCATTAAAGAAAGCCTTTCTCAGCTTTTAGAGCACGAGACTATAAAGGAATTTGCTTCTATTTGGGATGCCATCGGAATAGAGGACCGGATTCGACAGGAAAGGCGAGACAAGATGTTCCAGTATCATTGTAACCTTCAATTGGAGATGCTGGAGGAAGAGAGATCGCTCAAGAAGCGACTGGAGGACAGCATCAAGAGCTGCTCCGAGGAACTAGTCCAGCTGGAAACACAACTTCATTTATCCTCCACTCTTGTGAGATATTTTAGTTTATTAATTGTAGATTTTCACCTTTTATCACTTAAAACAAAATTAATAATGAATATGTTTCATTGTAGGATAGCTATAGTTTGAAGACAATAACAGAGAAGGAAAGGTTAATACGAGAAAGAGTTGATGCACTGAACAAGATTAAACACGACAGAATGAAGAGACTCAAACGACTCATAGAAATGGAGACAGTCCTTGCTCACGGGATCGGAGAGAAACCTTCCTTTAGTCTCAAGTGGCAGTCGGAGAACCTGATCCCATCAGAAGAAGAACTTCAGAATTATCTTGAGAAAGTAGAACAACTTGAATCAATCAAGGTATGGTAATTTTGAAATGGATGTGGTCATTTCATTCTTTTAATTAGGATCAGCGTCAGGTTGAGTTTCGTAATGTCCGTGATAAGGCTCGTGCTGTGTGGGCGGAGCTTGAGACGGAGCCAACCGATGAGCTGGGGCTGAGGCTATACAGTGGAGACATCAGCCATTTTGTGTTCTCTCAAGCTAATATGAAGTCTTTGGAGGATTATTATCAGAAGGTACTGTATGATGAACACCCATTGTTTAATGACCTTTGCTGTATGAATCTCTCTCTCTCTCTCTCTCTCTCTCTCTCTCTCCTCTCTAGTTGGAATCCAGTGCAACGGAGCAAGAGAAGGAAGCCAACTACCTGAGGAACTGTATCACATCGCTATGGAAGCGACTAGAGATACCAACTGAGTTTCGCGAGGAGTTCCTCTCACAGCATCAGGGCTACAAGGACTGGGTCATCAAAGAGGTGAATGGTGACTTTATTAGATATTATTAATTTATTAACAATATGAGAGTCTATTCATGATTTCTCTCAATGTATAGTTGAAGTCTGAAGTTGACAGGTTAGATATTCTCAAGCAGTTTCACTTAGAAGGATTCATCAAGGCCACTCGGGCTGAGTTGGCCAAAGTGTGGGACCAATGTATGTTTGGGGAGAATCAGAAGAGAGAATTTGGACCTGCTTTTAATGGTACTGCAAAATGATTGAGACACATGCAGCTCAACGTATTTCTTCTCTCCATTTTTGTCTTTCCCCTACTTTTCTCTCATCCGTTAGATGATTTTACTGAAGATAACTTGAGTGCACATGAAAGTGAGCTTGACAAAATGAGAGGGTTTTATGCCGATAATAACGAGATATTCAAACTGGTTGAGAAAAGAGAATCCCTTTGGGATCAAAAGATAGAAATGGATGTGAGCTAGCCCTTTGAATACTAGTATATCTGACTCCTTATCCACTCTTGGTGTTAATTATGCAGAATCGTGCAAATGATCCAGCCAGGTTGAACAACAGAGGAGGGAAACTGCTGCAAGAGCAACGCTTGCACCAAAAAATAAATAAAGATTTACCTAAAGTATGTGAAATTATCACCATCATTATTACAACAATGATGATAACAATCATACATGTGCATGTACATGTATGGAGTGAGGTCAAAGTTAATGTCAGCTAGTTATTTCGTTGATTTCTTCTGTAGACGGAGAAAAAGTTGAAGGAGGTACTCACCCAGTGGGAAGAGGACCACACCCGCCATTTTATAATAAAGGACCAGCGTTACCTTGACAACCTTGACTCAAGATGGGAGGAGTATCACCAATCAAAGGAACAGGAGAAGATCAAGAGAGTAAGAGGAGGAGGAGGAGTGGAGACCATTTAAAAATACTTTTATGTAGCAACAAATCAAAGCTGAGACCACAGTAATGGAAATGAAGTTTGGAAGCAAACCACAGACCCCAACACCAAAGAGGTAGCCAATTATAATGATATTATTATTATTATTATTATTATTATTATTATTATTATTATTATTATTATTATTATTATTATTATTGATTATTATTATTATTATTGATTATTTTAGGAAAGCTGTTGCTCCAGTGTCTAATGACAGAGCACCTAAAGTTGCTAGAGTAACACCTGCTCCTTCTCCATTAGTAAAAGCCACTACTAATAAGATAGTAAGTATATACACTTGAGCTGGTAACTCATTTTAATGATCCACTAGACCCCAGCTCGTAGGCTACCAAGGCATCAGAATAAAGTACTTAAGGACAAGAATAAAAGCAATCCAGCGACCCCTGAACCAGGTTTTGACTTTTCATTGGCCTCTGCAGGGTCTTATACTGATTTTCAGGTAAACCACACCAGAGGACAAGGAATTTTTAAGCTGGTGAAATCATTGAACAACACAGCTATAATCAATCATTTATCATTATTTTGTATTATACATGTTTTTTTCTCAACGTTTTCTTTCCTTTTACTAATTTCTACAAACTTTTCCACGTCCTTTTCCTTTCTCCTCCCCCTCTCTCTCTCCCACACACAGCGTGCCATCACATTTGGCCCACCAAACAATCGCTCCAGTGTTGTATCTACAAAATCATCTAAAGCCAATGTCTCATGAAGAAGAATTGGCTAATAAATATACATCAACATATCTTGCTTTATTTCATAACACAAACATACACACACATAATACAATAGTCAGTCATTTTTAAATGATTATCATTATGTCTCTGTCTCTCTTTATTACAAGTATGATTGTTGTCCTTTATTTTAGAAAATAGTGATTGTACTAATTTATCTTAAATTTACAGTTTTTGGTATAATAGCATGATAATGTTAGCATGTTATTTCATTGAAATACAATAATGTCCACTTTTAAAAAGTTTATCACAACTTCACAAGTACTAAGTGGATTGATGGAGACTGCTATGAGTCTCCTTTAGAGCGAATGGAATATCTCTTCTTCTTATCAACCACTTGTGTCTCTATCAGTGACATTGATGAGTTAAGTATAGCAGCAAGAGCTCCTGTAATGGAGTCTTTATCCATTTCTGGCTTTAACTTTATGAATTTCTTCATCAATGCTTTAGAAGTCATTGGCTTCCTTGATAAATACTTGTACACCTCATGAGTGGTGATCCTATCTGGTCTTATGGGCTGTTTCTCCTCCTCCTCTTTCCTGATCTTCTTCTTTGATGGTCCTTCCACTGATGGAGACTCCAACACTCTCTTTGTACTACCAGCACTCCCTTTTGACGGACTTGAAGCTAAGCAAACCATAATAATAATATATATCTATTGCTGATTTATTGATGTAAAATTAATATTGGTGGTTGGTGAGATTTTCTCATATAAATTCACCGGTTATCATTACTAGTAACCATCTCATACTTTTCTGATTGGATTCTTTGCTTTCTTCTTCAGACTCCAATTCTTCTTCTTCTTCTTCTTTGACTGGTTCTTGCTTGCGTATAATTGCCTTCAACTCTTTTCCTACAACACAATACTGTAATAGAGGTTATCATATTTCACAGGAGTCTTTTTGCTTGTCACGGATTTCGTGACAATGGAACTAATGGGTTTTTTTGCTTGTCACGGATTTCGTGACAATGGAACTAATGGGTTTTTTTGCTTGTCACGGATTTCGTGACAATGGAACTAATGGGTTTTTGCTTGTCACAGATTTCATGACAATGGAACTAATGGGTTTTTGGCATTAGGAGATAAACTTAATTGTATAAAGGTGGGGTATCATGAGGGCAAAAATGAAATTTATAAATTTTTTAAAGTTGCTCCAAAATCAGATCAAAATTTACCACTTTCAGTTAGGTCCTCTCCTTCATCAGATGAAGATGAGCTTTTATCCCCAAACACTTCATCAATCCCTCCTTCCTCCTTCCTCTCAACTTCAGCATCATCTCTTGGCTGCTCCTTCACCTCTTTGAGAAGCTTAAGACAAAAACAAAAACAGAAACACCAAAATTAACCAAATATAAAATGAATTTGTTGACTCTCATTAACTGCATGGCTACATTATTAGAGGGGCTCACTCTTTCCTCTTCTCCATCAGAGCTGGTGGTTGAATAATAATCCATTTCTTGTGATTCCATGTCACCTTCATCAGTCTCTTCTCCTGCCTCGCTGTCATCATTCTTAACAGCTGCTGAGGCTTTCCTTTTCTTCTTAGAATCTCCTTCACATATACAACCATGTGTAGGGTGTAATATTCATCATCAATTACCTTTCTTGCCTTTCTTTCCTTTACTGGAAGATTTGGGTTTATCTTAAATAAATGATTATAATTATATTGATAGAGTATTTAATACCATCAGTGTCACTCCCAACTGATGAAAACTCAGCCTCTGAATCAGAGTCCTTGGCAGCTTTTGACTATAAAATGTCATTCTTTATGCTCCCTCTCTCTCTCCTCTCTTACTGTGACTGTCAGTGGGTCAGTTTCATCTTCTGTCTTCTCCTTGATCCTCTTGCTCATCATAATCGAGAAATAATTGAGTGTCTTGTGTCTCTTCTCAAATCTCTCTTCTGCCTCCTCGTCATTCAAATAATTATATTTGACAGGAGGTACAAAGTTATACCTGACAGGAACATAAATTGATGATGACAATGAGTTAAAGGTCAGTACCAGTTTGAAATGGGATAAGCTTCAAATGAGTTATTGGCTCCAAGAGACAGGAGGTAATAAGAGGCACTGCTGTTAATCCCACCTTCCTTACGTCCTATAAAACTATGATACAATTAACATAATAAATTGCTCATCTCATTTATATACATGCACTATAATAATCTATAATAATAATAGTTATCTGTCCTTAAGTACATTGTACTAGCTTATACTGGTACTTAGCCTATAAGGATTTTGTTCTATTGATCCTCTTAAAACTGTTACACATGCACATGTTTCTAAACAGTTTCTTTCTCTTAACTGTTTTCCTCCTTTCTTGTGTTCTCTGAGTATCCATGGCTGATCAGCTGGGTTGGCTTTCCTAGCACGAAAGCCACGCCTCCTTCTCTTGGCGTCCTCTCTCTCCTTCTGCCTGTACTCTGTTCCCTCTCCTTCAAGGACTCGCTCAACCTTTCCCTCGTCCTGTTCCTTTGTCTCTTGGCGATCCAACTTGGGCTACATACCAAAAAAGTTTTTAATTAACAGATTAATGTCAAGGGACAGTCAAGGACATGCAGCATTAATAAAATTGGTGTTATGCTTTACCTAATAGCCGTACGTAATTCACTACAAATTGCTGCATGATTATTACATAATTATATATAACTTTTTAATTTTTAAAAATTTACATTAGTGAGTTGCTGAAGGTCACAATTGTGTGGTGGCTTGAATCTCATTATATTATACTCTTTGTTGTCTGGACTATAAAAGAGAAAAAGGATATTTAAAATGGAGGGATACTTCTTGATTGATGGTCTGTCATGGTGTGACTAACTTTCCAAGTTTGACTGAATATTCTTGAGTGGCCATGATAAAACACGAATTATAACTAGTAATAAACTACTGCTAATTTTACGGAAACTCATATCCGTAAAACACCGCAGAATCAAACCGGAAGTAAATCTAATGTTACAGATCACCGGAGTTTTACGGATAAAAAATTTCGTAAATTCCCACTTTACTAGCCAGTAGCCACTCCTCCTTTCTTTCTGTCATGGAAGTCATGCGACTCTTTCCTGCTCTCATTCTATTCTCTCTCCTTTCTCTCTCTCTCGCTAACAAGGACTGGGATGATCCAGAAAGGCTGGCAGAGGAAGAGGGGTATTATAAAAGAGAACACTCGCTCACACAGCCTTATCAAGGAAGAGGAATGGATGTTAGTAGCAGATATTATTATTTAAAATCAACACCTTCTTTATTATACTAACCAGATACCATTCTGGGAGTTTGGAGGGTCCACTGTGGTTACTAATGATTACGTTCGTCTGACCCCAGACCGTCAGAGCAAGCAGGGATCGCTCTGGAATCACGTGGTCAGAATTTATTTCATTTTAGTTCAATTTTAAGCGAGCGTACATTTGAAATAATTTGAGCTCATTAGTCTTTTCTTTAGCCAGTAGGTGTTCATAATTGGGAGATACTCATTCATTTTCATGTTCATGGGGCAGGGAAGACGTTATTTGGGGACGGTTTTGCCATTTGGTACACAAAAGAAAGAAACGTAATGGGTAAGGATCAGTTGGCACCAAACTTGTAATATCATAATTCTGATGATACTGTGACTTTATCTGTTGTTTAGGACCAGTTTTTGGCAATCAGGACTATTTTGTTGGACTAGGTGTCTTCTTTGATACATACAGCAACCACAATGGAGAACATGCTGTAAGTCTATTACTCCCTCCCTCTCTCTCTCCATCATGTCCTCTCTCTCTCTTTCTGTCTTAGCATGAACATCCTTACATTTCTGCCATGGTGAATAACGGGAGTCTTCATTATGATCATGATAGAGATGGTACCCACAGTCAAATGGCTGGTTGTCACGTAAGACCAGTTCACTATAAGATACAGTACATCCTCTCCCTCTCTCTTTCTTCCTTCAGGCTAAGTTTCGTAACTCTGATGAAGACACTCTGGTTGCCATTTCTTACATCAACAGGCAACTAATAGTATGTTTACCTTATGATTCTGTTGCTACTCAGTACTAACTATTATCAAGAGTAAATAATACCTAAAGAGAGTATCCAATGGGGCCCATCTCAGCTGCTGCAAGTGTGTGGATTTTAATTTTTAAGAACTGTCACGTTCAGTATACTTCTGTATATTATCAACCCATCTGTATAAACATTGATTCAAAACTACTGTAGTATCCTGAATGTGACTTCTTTAAAATCCACACACTTGCAGGAGGCCTCAATAGGCCCGTTGGATACTCTCTTTAGGTATTATTTGCCGACACTATAACTATTGTATTCATTACTGTTGTTACTACTGATGCAGTTGATGACTAACATCAATGGTGGTCGCTCCTGGGAGCCTTGCTTTGTCATAAATGACGTTGACCTTCCCACTGGGTATTACATTGGGTTCACTGCTACCACTGGAGATCTTGCTGGTATGTCATATCTTGATCTCTTTATGCTTCACTGTCTCTCTCTCTCTCTCTCTCTCCTTAGACAATCACGATATCATTTCAGTGAAACTTTACGATGTTGAGAGTCAAGACCCACCAACTCCTCCTAAAGCTAATGCTGAGAATACAGTCACTCAAGTACAGCTAATCCTTTACAGCAATCCATTGATCAGTTCCTTCTCTCTTGTGTCCTATTCCTAGGAACCTGATTGGTCCACTGTAGTACCTCGTGCCGCCAGTCAAGAGCTTCCAAGACGTAAGTCCTTATTCTCATTGAGTTTTTGTTTTATTTCTAACATCAGCTCATGTGGAGGATAGCAAGCCATTCCTTAAGCCATTCTGGTATCGGTTCTTCTCTGTGACAATGCTTGGGGTACTTATTGTCGTCTTTGTTGGCGTGGTCGGAGGTGTCATTTGGAAGAGACGGCACGAACGTAACAAGAAAAGATTCTTTTAGTTGGTACCATGCACACACTGACACTGTATAAGCTTCACTCTCTCTCTCTCTCTCTCTCTGTTGCTTAATCTGCTATGATGACTCTTTTGATTTAATTATTATTATTTTTTGTTAATATTGAGATTCATTTTTATATTAATGAAATAAACACAACAGCAGTCTAAACAACAACAACAACAACAACAATAATAATAATAATAATAATAAGTAGTAGTAGTGATATTATGGCAAGATTATACTCTGGTCTCCCTGTTGCAAGTTACAATGGTGTCTTCACTAATAATAAGGCTACTAGTTCTACTATCATTAATATCATTAGTCACCATAACTGGAACAGTAAGACTCAACTCCTTCTCATCAATCAAAGGAGCTTCAGATTCAGCAGTGCTATGAGTTAAAGAGCCAGGTCCCCCCAGAGGAGAGCCAGCAGTACTGGCACCATTACTGTTGCTGTGTGATGCTCCAATGGAAAGGCCTTGAAGGGGCTTTGTTCTCAGTAGGTGAGTTATGTTAGTCAGACCTGCTTTACCAGCTAGACTAGCCTCAAGATCAGTAGTTTCTGCCACCTCCCATTCCTTGTTGAACACCTCAGCACTGACCGTTTGGCTCTGCTCATTCTCAAAACGAGACGCTTTCAGAGCCGCTAGGTAACGCCTCTTGGTAACTATGACAACAAGACATTCAACAGGACCCATTGAGACGGTAAAGTCAGGAACGTAGGCAGTGTCACTGTATGGTTCAAGGAGGCACTTGGAACCAAAAGTATAGAACCCGTGAGCTTGGAACTGGAGCCCCTCCTCCCCAATGGTGACTAGTAGCATTCCTTCTAGTATCAAGGTGAAGTAGTTAGCAGGGGTACCTGATTGGTAGAGGAGGAAGTCTGACCTTTCTCTTGATAGTTTAAACACAATGTCTTGTCTTAGCAGGTGACTGAGGACATTCTTTGTGATGTGAGAAGAGTTGAAAGGAGGAACAGCTAATGGAGGAAGAACAAACACTCGTGAACATAAAGCAACGTAAGGACAGGGACATGAATGAATGTAGGATCAAATACTGCAGGAGACTTTGCATGCATGGGCATATAGAGCATCAAAAAAAGTAATAAAAATTTCGGGAGATTTCGGAGCCATTTTTTGGAAAAAACCCTGGGCTATAGCCTTGGGTATTTTTCAGAATTTTGACGTCTTCTTAAAATGGCTGAAACTCGAAAAATTCAAGTCGGAATCACCTCAAACTTGCTACACAGCATAAGTACATCAATATGTATCAGAAAATGTAATAAAAATGTGGGGTGATTTTTTAACCATTTTTTGGAAAAAACCATGGGCTATAGCCTTGGGTATTTTTCAGAATTTTGACGTTTTCTTAAAATGGCTGAAACTCGAAAAATTCAAGTCGGAATCACCTCAAACTTGCTACACAGCATAAGTACATCAATATGTATCAGAAAATGTAATAAAAATGTGGGGTGATTTTTTAACCATTTTTTGGAAAAAACCATGGGCTATAGCCTTGGGTATTTTTCAGAATTTTGACGTTTTCTTAAAATGGCTGTAACTTGAAAAATTCAAGTCGGAATTAGCTCAAACTTGCTACACAGCATAAGGACATCAATATGTATCAGAAAACGTAATAAAAATTTGGAGTGATTTTTTAGCCATTTTTTGGAAAAAACCATGGGCTATAGCCTTGGGTATTTTTCAGAATTTTGACGTTTTCTTAAAATGGCTATAACTTGAAAAATTCAAGTCGGAATTAGCTCAAACTTGCTACACAGCATAAGGACATCAATATGTATCAGAAAACGTAATAAAAATTTGGAGTGATTTTTTAGCCATTTTTTGGAAAAAACCATGGGCTATAGCCTTGGGTATTTTTCAGAATTTTGACGTTTTCTTAAAATGGCTATAACTTGAAAAATTCAAGTCGGAATTAGCTCAAACTTGCTACACAGCATAAGGACATCAATATGTATCAGAAAACGTAATAAAAATTTGGAGTGATTTTTTAGCCATTTTTTGGAAAAAACCATGGGCTATAGCCTTGGGTACTTTTCAGAATTTTGACACTTTCTTAAAATGGCCGAAACTTGAAAAATTCAAGTCGGAATTAGCTCAAACTTGCTACACAGCATAAGGACATCAATATGTATCAGAAAATGTAATAAAAATTTGGAGTGATTTTTTAGCCATTTTTTGGAAAAAACCATGGGCTATAGCCTTGGGTATTTTTCAGAATTTTGACGTCTTCTTAAAATGGCTGAAACTCGTAAAATTCAAGTCGGAATCACCTCAAACTTGCTACACAGCATAAGTACATCAATATGTATCAGAAAATGTAATAAAAATGTGGGGTGATTTTTTAGCCATTTTTTGGAAAAAACCATGGGCTATAGCCTTGGGTATTTTTCAGAATTTTGACGTTTTCTTAAAATGGCTGTAACTTGAAAAATTCAAGTCGGAATTAGCTCAAACTTGCTACACAGCATAAGGACATCAATATGTATCAGAAAACGTAATAAAAATTTGGAGTGATTTTTTAGCCATTTTTTGGAAAAAACCATGGGCTATAGCCTTGGGTATTTTTCAGAATTTTGACGTCTTCTTAAAATGGCTATAACTTGAAAAATTCAAGTCGGAATTAGCTCAAACTTGCTACACAGCATAAGGACATCAATATGTATCAGAAAACGTAATAAAAATTTGGAGTGATTTTTTAGCCATTTTTTGGAAAAAACCCTGGGCTATAGCCTTGGGTATTTTTCAGAATTTTGACGTCTTCTTAAAATGGCTGAAACTCGAAAAATTCAAGTCGGAATCACCTCAAACTTGCTACACAGCATAAGTACATCAATATGTATCAGAAAATGTAATAAAAATGTGGGGTGATTTTTTAGCCATTTTTTGGAAAAAACCATGGGCTATAGCCTTGGGTATTTTTCAGAATTTTGACGTTTTCTTAAAATGGCTGTAACTTGAAAAATTCAAGTCGGAATTAGCTCAAACTTGCTACACAGCATAAGGACATCAATATGTATCAGAAAATGTAATAAAAATTTGGAGTGATTTTTTAGCCATTTTTTGGAAAAAACCATGGGCTATAGCCTTGGGTATTTTTCAGAATTTTGACGTCTTCTTAAAATGGCTGTAACTTGAAAAATTCAAGTCGGAATTAGCTCAAACTTGCTACACAGCATAAGGACATCAATATGTATCAGAAAACGTAATAAAAATTTGGAGTGATTTTTTAGCCATTTTTTGGAAAAAACCATGGGCTATAGCCTTGGGTACTTTTCAGAATTTTGACACTTTCTTAAAATGGCCGAAACTCGAAAAATTCAAGTCGGAATCACCTCAAACTTTCTACACAGCATAAGGACATCAATATGTATCAGAAAATTTAATAAAAATTTGGGATGATTTTTTAGCCATTTTTTGGAAAAAACCATGGGCTATAGCCTTGGGTATTTTTCAGAATTTTGACGTTTTCTTAAAATGGCCGTAACTTGAAAAATTCAAGTCGGAATTAGCTCAAACTTGCTACACAGCATAAGGACATCAATATGTATCAGAAAATGTAATAAAAATTTGGAGTGATTTTTTAGCCATTTTTTGGAAAAAACCATGGGCTATAGCCTTGGGTATTTTTCAGAATTTTGACGTCTTCTTAAAATGGCTGAAACTCGTAAAATTCAAGTCGGAATCACCTCAAACTTGCTACACAGCATAAGTACATCAATATGTATCAGAAAATGTAATAAAAATGTGGGGTGATTTTTTTAGCCATTTTTTGGAAAAACCATGGGCTATAGCCTTGGGTATTTTTCAGAATTTTGACGTTTTCTTAAAATGGCCGTAACTTGAAAAATTCAAGTCGGAATTAGCTCAAACTTGCTACACAGCATAAGGACATCAATATGTATCAGAAAATGTACCTTAAGGTTACTTTTAAATGCGGGTACTATTAATTGCAAATTTTGCGTTTGGGTTAAAAATCGCAATTATTAATACACGCAATTATTAATAATGACATCATGATACCATATAACTATTGGTAATAATTACTTAATCGCAATTTTTAATACCAGCAAAATCTACCTTGTGCTAAAATCGCAAAATTTAGTACCCGCAATTAAAAGTTACTCTAAGGTAATAAAAATGTGGGGTGATTTTTTAGCCATTTTTTGAAAAAAACCATGGGCTATAGCCTTGGGTACTTTTCAGAATTTTGACGTTTTCATAAATTGGCCGTAACTTTAAAAATTGAAGTCGGAATCACCTCAAACTTGCTATACAGCATAAGTACATCAATATGTATCAGAAAATGTAATAAAAATTTGGAGTGATTTCGGTGGCTCATTTCTAAAAGTGCTCATAACTTGGTTTGGCTCAATGCACAAGTTAAAAATTCCCATTAATTTGCAAAGGAACAACAACATTCATCCATACACTGACTACTGAAAGTGAAAATCAAACAAAAAATACATTAAAAATCCCTTCCCCACCCACATGAACGCTACACCAGTATACACTTAATAATAATAATAATAATAATAATAATAATAATAATAATAATAATAATAATAATAATAATAATAAAGTCTTACAAGAGGAGAGGAATTGTGTGACAGCCAGGACCTGCTGTGGGGATAAGCTAATGACAGGGGTAGTGTACATCATCTCAGTCACAGCTGCAATGTTATTGTCTCTCTTTCTCTTCTTCTGTGTCTTGTTGTCCTCTACAGATATAAACAGCAAAGCATGAACTAACACACCATTTCCATTAACAACAACAACAAAAACAACAACAACAATAATAATAATAATTGGATTCCAGACTTCAAGTATAATAATTGTAATATAATGTGCAATAACTTAAACTTTAATAAAGTGTGTGGTATAACATAATTATGTTTCTCTTACCAAATTGATCATACTCATCAACAATCTGACGTCCTATTATCGCTTCTATGATATCCTCTAGAGTTATGATACCTTGAATGGAGAGGGAGGGGGAGAGAGAGAGAGAGAAAATCAACTTTTGATAGCATAAGTACATGCAGCAGCCTCCAAGTTCAAGCTAATATAAATCTAATCAAACTAATCTCTCTTCTATAGTAAACATGACCTGTATCACCTCAGTCAGTCACTGGCTGCTGCTGCTGACTGTACTCTAATCAATACATCAACAACTAATCACAACCAACTCTCTCTTTCTTGTAAGACATTGACTCCATAATCATCACATCCTCCCAGGACATACAATCATCTCCACACAATACCTTCACTAGTACTTATACACAAGTATGGTGGAGCTAGCCCAATACGTGTACATGTACATACAAGTATACATCAATAATCATGAGAGTCTCTCATAGACTCTACCTAGTATCTTGTACTCGTTATCTGCTCCTTCCACTTCAACAATATCCTTAACAATGGCAATATGGCAGCCAGTATCCACAAAATCCTTCAGCTGCTTCTCAAGTGTCGTATCAAAGAACACAAAGTTGGGATGACGATTATAAAAATCCTTCAACTGTAACAGGAGAGAGAAAACATACACAAAATATTCATTAAAAAGCTTTCGCAAAAAAAGTATTTTTAGAGGTATTACCTGACGAATAGGTATGCAGTCTTCTGGATCAATAAAAGTCAAGTCCCTCAAGTGGAGTATTCCGACTATGTTGTTCCTGTCTTCTTCGTAAATTGGCATTCGGCTGAAGCCGCTGTCGTAAATCTGTTTCATTGTCTCAAAGTTGAGTACCATATCAATATCAACGCAAAAGACGTGTTCGTATTTAGTCATGATCTCTGTCACTGTCCGGTCTTTGAAGTTAAGAGCACCTGATAGTATCCCTAGCTCGTAGTCATTAATATCAGCATCTTCTTTCGTTACTTTCAGTAGCTCCAACAGCTGCTGGCGATTGTAGACAGCACCAATCTCTTTCCCAAGAATAAGATTGAGGATCAGACTGATGGGAAAGGCAAGGGGGAACGTGACCACCATGAATATATAGGTCAGCCATATTGTGTAGGCACCGATCAAGAGACCATAACGGGAACAAATGGCCTGAGGAACGATCTCTCCAAATATAACGATAGCCAGGGTGGAGCCTATCACTGCATATATACCACTTCCAATAACATTATCAAGTAATATTGTAAAAGTGCTGTTCACCAATACGTTGCCTAGCAACAGCGTGCAGAGGAGGTAGTTACCATAGCGACGGACCCTATGTATGATTTTGGCGTAACGCTGCTGTTTCTTAGAACCACTCCTCATCACTATCTTAAGAGTGGTTGGATCAAGAGCCATTAGGCCTAGGTTAAGACCAGAGAACAGCCCAGAGAGAACCATCAGTATAAGGATGAATATGATAGTCACTGGCAGGGGGAGGAGAGAAGAGCTGGGCTGACTGACGACTAGTTGCAGGTCTGTACCTTGGTGAGTAAAGTCTTCATTGTCATCATTTCTCAAACAAAAATATAAAACTTTATTTGTAGAGATGAGAGGGAATGTCACGTTATAGAGAGATCTGACAATGGGAGGTTCTAGAGGTGTCACCCTAAGGACGGATATGGTACCAAAGAGAGAACTGGCTTCATCACAATTTGTACTGGACTCTGTCCATTTTATGAGGGAAGAGTTGGTCAAATTGTAGCCAATGACAAGGAGAGAGTGAGAGAGTGTGGGGTCTAGACTGATGACTCCTGTGTCTGTTGTCTCGTACTTGCTTCCTTGAGGGACAAATGAAACTAGCTGAGACCAAGAGGGCTGGGTGAGTACTAAAAGGAAGAAGACTAAAGAGAGAGAGATGTGGCGGCCATGACCACCAAAGACAAAGTGTTTATGCTTGCAAGAGAAGTACATTCAACGATAAGGCAGGCAGGGGTCCTTTAGCTGCCTGCAGAATGAAAGAGAAGAGTAAGTTGATTTTGCTTGCCTCAGTCAGCTTATGCAATATGCAATATGAAAATGTTAGGCACGTGACTCAGGAAACCACACCTAGTCAAATGGGCGTGGTAAAACCCCACCCCAGATAAAAAGGGAAATAATGGAGATTGAAGCTAGGACTGAGATATTGAAGATCATAGAGACACTGACACACTCTGGGGATCCCTCTCTCGATGAGAAGCTAATGAAAAAGATAAAGAACTACTGCAGGTTAATTCTTAAAGGCCATGATTGAAAATATTTTGGTAAACAATACCTTCTCTAGAACCAACAATACTTATGTACAGTTAGTGTATGATAGGCTCATGAGAGATGTTGCAACCAAGCATTCTGAGGTCCGTCTCTCTTCCTTTCAAATAATCGATCAATTGTTCCAACGCTCTCACATCTTTCGTCAACTAGTGACCTCAGACTGTCAGAAACTCATAATGTTGGGTGAGGAATGTTTATTACGAGTTCGAATCTTCTAATCTTGTTTTAGTTTGTGGAGTTGAGCCACTCCCACCTCCTCGTTTAGCAGCTGCAAAGCTGAAGGAGGTCAGTTTGCTTTCTTTCAAGGAATGGGTGGAGAAGTATGGAGAAGGTTACCCTAAATTGAAACTTGGGTACAATTACCTCAAACACAATAAGAAGGTTTGAACATAGATTGTTAATTCAAATTTGTTTTGACTGCGTAGTGATTATCACATTTTGTGTCAATGTTCCTCATAATAATAACAATAACAATAATAATAATAATAATAAATAAATAAATAATAATGTATAGGTAGATTTTGACAGACTCACATCTTCAAGTGAAGGAGAACAAAGAAGACAAGAAGAGAGAGAGAGCAGACAGAGGGCCTTCCTTGAGCAGCGTCTAGAGAAGATTAGAGTAGAAATGAATGGTAAGTAGTTTAGTCTGTAATGGATTGTGGTGGGTATTGGAAAAGAATAATTATGGATTTATACCAACCAGGTGGTGGGCTAGCCACAAACTTGCTTAGGCTTTGTACAATAAATATATTATTAAATTCATTATTTAAATTTGATTATTAAACACATTATTAAACACATTATTAAGTTCGTTATTTTTTCATGCTTTCTCAGAACAGGCTCCTGACATTAAGGGCTGTCTATTTGAAATGGAGTCGTGTTTTAAGATCCTCATGCCAAGTTTCATGGACCTGTTCCCCCTCAATGAATCAAACCCGGTATCAAACTGCAGTCAAAACTCAACCAAATCTGACTCTGTCTCAGCAGAAACTGACTCTGAGCTAGTTTTAAAGACTGTTGGTAGTCCGTCATCTAATGAGACCTCATCTCAAACTGGAGGGTGTTCAAGAGAACCTGATGATACCTCTACTGATGGTGAGAGTGAGTCTGATGATGTTGAATGGGAAGAAGTGACAATGGCTACCGGAGCCATCAATGGACTAGTGGGTCGGAACCCTACTGTTACTACCATTAGGGTACCTGATCGTGTTATTGTTAATAAAGACGATAATGAGACTCTAATAGCTACTTTGAGGGAGCGTTACAAACTTGCTGTGAAAACCTACCTTCCTCGAATTAACAAGTGGATTGAAGTGAGAGCTAAAACTATCTCTTATATTACTTTCTCTCTTACTCCTACTTGCTTTCCCTACTGTTTCTTGTCTTTTCATTGCATCTTTCTCTTTCCTCTTATTTGATATCCTACCATAATTCCCCTCCCTCTCCTTCCCCCTCTCTTTATCTGGCTCTGCCAGTGGTTTACAAAGGCTGGTCAAGAAGCCTTACTAAAGGAAGCTATTGACTTAAAGGCTCAAGTATTAGCTGCCAAAGGCAAATATGCAGAACTGGATATCAAAGGATTAGAACAAGAAGAAGAGGAGGACTCCTCAACTGGTCCAACAGACTTAGCTCCTCCATCATACCCACCAGACAGCATTGCTGCTCACTGTTCTTCATTGCTGCCATGGACAACTGCAGTAGCCAGTTATCATAAGACACCTGTGGGGCTAGAGGAGGACCTTGCTTCTGATCCCACTACACCTCAGGCTCAGATGAAAGCTAAAGGCCTCCTCCAGTCAGTATTGTACTTATTAATGTCTTTACATTACTTCCTCCCAGACAGCAATCAGCTACCATCCCTCCAGGTCCTGCTAAAGGAGCAGCAAGTGGCTCAAGTCAAACTTCATCAGCTGCAACTGTTCCGTTTGACGTTGACCTCCTTCACTGGGGGGACTCACGACAGCCATCAATAATGCCGACAGCGTATGTACAGTACAGTCATTGTTAACTGAATCTACTGTCTTTATTCTCAGGATGGACTCCTTGCACAGATACTGGTGTGCCGAACCTGACCTTACTGTCTCAGAGGTTAGCTTTAAGCATCATTTAGTTTTTGATCCTTTGTAGGACGTGATGGCCTCTCTGAGCCACAGAAGTATAACATTCGCTGGTACCTTTCAACCAGTGGAGAGATCCTGCCGTGCTCCCCTACCAAGTGGCTCACTCTGCCCCCGCAAAGATAAAATAAAAGTATTGAGACTTTAATGAACTCATAGTGTCTGATTATAAGCAGAGCAGAGTTTGAATTGTAGTGTTAGTAGCATCTTATGGATAGTCAACCCCCCCCCCCATACACACACTATGGAATGATACAGTCAATGTTGCTTCATGAGTATGTACAGTCTCTGTCCATTCATTATGTAGTGTCCTCTTCACGGGGTCATCATCCCAAGAGATGAACATGGAGATCCTATTGACTGTCTTGAGATGTCCCAAAGTGACACGGTAATTGAAACAAAGACACCAGCTGCTGCTGCCCCTCCTGATACTCCAAAAGGTTAGTGCCTAGTATCCTATAGACTGGAGACATCACACCATGTCTTTGAACCAACACCAGGTCCAGGTGGAACAAAAGACAAGAAACCAAGATCAAAGAAGACCAAGTACCCTGGACTGACTGACATCAAGAAACTGGAAAAGACTCCAAAAAATCGCATAGAGTCAAAAATACTGAACAAGTAAGAAATAGAGAGAACACAGCCCAGCCAGTATTGGTAGTACTAGTCCAGGACATTAGTGAATGGTTAATTAGAGACAGTTGGGGCTGGATTGTGGTCGGTAGTCCATTAAGACATATACCCAAAGGCTCCAGTTACTACAGGCCATAGTGTGAAGTCATTCTCTGCTTATCCCTGCAGGCATGTACTGGCTAGAGTTGGGAAGAAACTGGACGCTCTTGACCAGAAGAGGGGAAAGACCAAGTTCTCAGATAATTTCAACTATGCATTAAAAAGTTAAATACTCTATCTCATCTCATCACACAGAGAAAAAAAAACAAAAAATGAATACAAACATAATCTACTAAGAACAAGAAGAGTGAAACTGTGATAATAATAATAATAATAAATCTATTTCTTCTTTTTTAAGTTCAGAAAATGTGTTGTACAAATGCATTAATTGACATACAAATGGAGTGCTAGTCCTGAAGAGCTGTCCATAGACAAAAATTAATAAAATAATAATCTTTAATGAATGTCAGGAACAGAGTGCCTGTGACGGAGCCTGCTTCCTTTAACATTGGAGTGACCAGCCCAGGACTTGGACCTTCTGGAGAAATGCATCAAGTCAACTTTGTGGCCTGTATCAAGCATAGTCTTGTACTCCTTGGGCTCACAAAGATCCTAAAATAATAATAATAATAATAATAATAATAATATAATTAATACTAGACAGATGTGAAACATAAAGGGTAAAGCCTAAGCAAGCAAAGCAATGCACATATAGCTGACACAGTAAAGGAATAGCATATTAGTAAAGAAGGAATCAAGTGACAACTAGAGAGAAAGGCTGCATTATGACAATACAATGAACTGCATGTATTGTACTTACAGGATGAGTTGCATAAAAGTTCTTGTATCCTCCTTCAATGAGGTAGAGCTCTGGGTAGTAGAGTTTAGGGAATTCCATACCGTTTCTCTCTCGATCGACTTTCCTCATGAAACGACTCCTAAACATGGTAAAAACATGAAATGAGAGTGTGACACTCAACCATGTCACACTTCTATATCTCATGACACATTCACTGGCTCTCTCAATGTCATGATGTCTGTGTGTGTGCTGGACTCATTTGTACATTTCTGGTGCTCTTTTTGACGAAAACTCGCAATGAAAGACTATAATATTTCTCTCTTCACTTTCAGAAGACGATTTTGGATGAGTAGGTGTTGAAAAAAATCTTTCTAAAAGTGTGTCTTTCTCCCAAATATTAATGGCACCCTAGGGGGGGAGGATTCAAATAATAGTAATGATGATAGCAGCATAAAGTGCTAGTGTTTCGAGTGAGTAAGAATGCAAATAATTGAGTCTAAAGGTCATTTTAAGATAGCAAAATATTAGTTCAAGAGGAAATACTGCCTTCTGGGGGATACCCAATGGCTGTTTAGACTAACAGCTATCTTGATGGATCAATAAAATATGAAACTTGGTGGCAGAATAATAAAAACAGTAAAAGTATATTTTAAAAAGACAATGAAGTTAGTTTGAATGGGAAGAGGTTACTATCAAAGTGATTTTAGTAAAAATGAGGTTAGTAATGAGAGCTGGCCAATAATTGCATTGTGGTAGACCAAAATGACATATACATGCATGTACATGGTACCAGTATAAATATTCACAAGAATTGATATTTTAAAAATATCCTACCATAGCTACTCTAATATCTATGACCCTACATGCATAAACCACAATAGACTGTACTGTACTGATTAAAGACATACCCTAATGTGTCCTCCTTCATATTCATAAGGATACCGACAATCAACTATAAGATACTTAGTATCGTGTTTACCATTTAATAGTGACTCCACCTACAAGAGAACACATTAAATGTAAAGGTGACAGTCACAATATTTATAATAATGAGATTATGAGTACTCCAGACTCACAGTATCTGGTGAGATGCTTTTTTGATCAGGGACTGTGCCTTGTGTCAGTGGCAGGAGATAAGGCTAGGGAAAGAAAGGGGATATGTCAACTGAGACTGACTGATACACCCTCAATGGTATACCTTAGTGTGATCACCTATCCTCTCTACACCACCAGACCCTAATGAATATGAGGAGGGAGAGAGAGAGGAGGGAAGTGGTTGTGGTTGCTATGCATACACCAGCTGTTTACCTGGTGAGTCAGGGAACATGGCATCCTCACAGGGAGGAGGAACACAGACTGACTGAGATCGAAATAAAGCAACACCCTATGAATGGCATCAGTTATAAGAGAATCATTGGAGTGTTGATATACCTTCAGTGACTTGTGGGCTGCTGGTGGAGAAGAGGGTGGCTGTAATGCAGTGAATGAAGAAGGTGATGGAAGAGGTGTCTTCTTTGATTCTCTCTCATCATTAGTCTCAAGCAGAGATCTCTAAATATGTAAAAGAAACACAATCAACTACATATATGGAGTGATGCCACACACACAAACCTTCATGGAGCCTCTTCTTGACACTGGGCTCTAATGACAAAACAATATAATATCATAAAACCACAAATTAATATTCCCCACTACTCATACCTCTCTGTCATCATCGCAGTTACTAGAGATCGGTGCAGCAAAAAGGCTTGAGAAGCACTTGGGCATCATCTCTTGTGAGGGATCCTAACAGAGGAAAGAGAGTAAAGTACTCATTAGCAGCCCCAGGACATATGTATCAACACAAACCTCTCCTACGCAATCAAAAACATCCGAAAAGTAACCATCACTGCTGCAACTGTTAGGCGAAGCAAGTGTCATTCTTTCCTAAATTTTAGAGAAAAGGAACACATGGTAGCTACTATTATAACTGGTACACTCACACACACACACACACACACACACACACACACACACACACACACAGAGTGTACATAAGGTTTTGAGTATAAAGAATGTGTAGGAGTATTATCAAGAGAGGGGGAAAGTGTCAAGATTGTGTGTCTTAAATGAAAAAGAGAGAGGGAGGGAGGGGGAGAGATAAAAAGGAGATAGAACTGACCAGTGGTGAGCTGATGTGTTTCATGAGCGGCTTCGAGGTTAACACATTATTACGATTACTCGACAGCGGCGACAGTGGGAGGGAGGAGAAGGACAATGGACGTAACTTTGCTCCTGAAAGTGGACCAGAGCAGACATTCTCCTGAAACAATAACAAGAAAGAGAGACATCAACTAGTGATAGTAATATAATTATGTCTCTTTAACATGATATCAGTGTTATACATGTAACACAGGACGAAGACATACTAGTAAGTGTTTGTCATTCACTGGAATGATATAACAATGCCTTAATAGTAAAACAAATGGAAAACCAGAAATATTCAAAACTGACGAGTAATAAACTCACTTTGCCAGGATACGTAGCCAGTGAATGTCGTCTGTCTATACTAGTAGAACACCTAGGGATGAAGAAGAAGAGGAAAAGAGAGAGAGAGAGAGAGGAGATTTAATCAAACTTTAATAAGAGACGGTGATACATGACCACAACTCCTCCATATGGGGAGCCACAAGAATGATAATCAGTTAGCACTCATTGCCACTCTCCATTCAACTTACTCTGAGTCGCTGTTCATGGAACAAGAGGTGCTACAGGCTGTAATGGGATAGAAGGGAGAGAGAGAGATGGAGGGAGGGAGGGAGAGAGTTTGTATGTCATGATTTACTATTGAAACGGGTCGCCAGACACTTACCGCTATCTGTGGTGGTCGGTGAATGTATGCTGTCATCAAGGCAGAGCTTTCTCCTCGGAGTCCTACAAGAGAGGGGGAGAGAAGAGAAGAACAGGCTGTATACACGGGTGGTTACTGGGTTGGGTGTCTTACCGTTTGACCGTGTTGCCCTCCTCTGGAGAGATATCGAAGGTAACGGGGCTGAACATACTGGCTACGAGTCTCTGAGACATGACAGCGAATGTGTTCGGGCAGAGAGGCCGAGGGAAGAGAAGGAGAGAGAGATTCAGTCAGAGAGAATGAGAGACTCTCTCAGGACTTGTTATTTTTGTATTGGGCGCCTAAACCACTGCGCATGCGCAAAACCACGTGCTATCCACTACACCATCATAACAATAATTTTATTTGGGAAAAACATTTGGAGTTACCCTATGGGAACAGCCATATGATTTGAATGCTAATATTGATCGAGGACGTGAAAGTTATATTCAAAATGTGTTCTAACTGTATAGGGTCTATTTTACTATTCCATGATTGGATCTCTGACATACTATATTAAAACGTTGATGTAAAAAAAGATGTATGTAAAGTTGTTTTATAATAATAATAATAATGACTATCACTGGTGGTATGTTAAATATCCTGCTGCCACTGGCCTCTTTGGCTGCTGAGAACTTGAAGGGTAATGATAAGACTCTTCACTCTCTTCATCGTCATCATCATCATCATCATCATCATCATCAGAATCTTCCTCCTCCTCCCCTTCTTCATCCTCCTCCTCATCACTGGCAACTTCTTGTCCCTCATACACTTCCAATTCAGTTCTCTCTGGTATGTCTATACCCATCTTTCCTAACACCTTCACATCATAGAAGACAGGTAAAAGTACAGCAAGCCGCCATGACAGGAGGACCGGTAGTACAGAGATACAAGCACCTAAAGATTAAAATAAAAGATTATAATACTTAGCAATACAGTACATATTTTGGCAAAACTTTGCTTCACATTTGCATGCATGCAAATAGTGTACATAACTAACTTACCAACATAAAATAAATATGCAGAATATTGGAGGCTAGCAGTTCCTTCATATTTATGAAGATTTGCAGAAGGCAAAGAGTTATTGATGATTTGATGTATGTTATGAGGATCAGAGAGATCAACAACATAGAAATCACTGGATACTGCTGCTGACAAAGAAGCTAATACAACTGTTATAATAGAAAAAAAAATCGTCAAAAAATAATAATGAAAAAATATACTTACCAATAATGAGGCTGAGGACATAAATGGCTGAGGGCCCCTTCCACCATTTTTTGACAACTTGATACGTGTTCAAGAATTCAACGCAGAGGTTTAGCAAAGACAAAGGTATTGTGAGGAGAAGGAACAAGAGAAGCAGGTAGAGTGAGACAAGACCAATAACACCATCAAACTTCTCAACTGCATGAAATGGTAAAAGGTAACATTTCATCTTTTCATAGAAGCTTACATGTGTAAAAGTGAGTGTCTTGCAGAAGAGCACCATCTTCTCCATCAATAACTTGCCTTCCCTGTATCAATCCGAGTGATATATTGCCTCTAGCTTGACCAAACAACTGGAGATCAATCTAGCGTGTCAAAGGATTACAATCATACTGTATGAATTTGTTAAATATGGCCTATGCATGTTTTTTGCAATATACATGTACATGTAATAGTCATAATGCAGCTTACTTTGAACCATCCTGGTGTTGCCATTGCTATTATGAATAGGAGACCTGACACAAAAGTTGCAACAAGAGATAATGAAGGCCATACCAGCCTCTCAAACTCCAAAACGTTCATCATGTTTTAAAGCCAGCCACACCCTGTAAATCACCAAAATGAACCACACCCAATATAAATCTCCAAGGAATTATAACACCAAACAGAATGCGAAAAATGTGAATATAATTTAACAACAACACAAGAACAGAAACATAATTATAGACTAATATCATACATTATTATTTGTGATATAAAAATTTAAAGAGAGACATGGCCTGTTTTATGTGGGTGGGATTGGAGGGTGTGTCGAAATCCAGTAGCTCTCCAGAAACAGTTCCAGTTTCCGACTAGCAACATCAAGAAAGCTATCGGTCAGTATAAGTGAAAAGTTGCCTCTTGGAAGATCATACAAGTAATTAGCAGCTGCCAATAACTCGCTCCGTTTTGATTTGTCTTGGCAAGTGGAGCGAAGGAGTTTATTAAGGACTTCAATACGACTGACTTGTATGTAGACAATGAGTGGGTGTAGTTCAAGGTTACTGATCTCTGAAGGACAGCTAGCGTCACAATCAAGGTAGACAATGTGATTGCTTTTACCAGCTTCATAGACTTGAGACTTAAGTTCATATGCTACACAAAAGAACAATAGATAATACCAACTTGTGAATTAGACAGAAAAGGATGGCAACAATTTAAATTAACTAAAATCAGGACTTTTACTGGTAGTCTTTCTAAGAATTCTAAATTAATGATTCTTGTGAATAAAGATTGTTTTATGAGTCAAAGCTTTATAAACTTGATAAGGGAACAGTGAATATAATGATAACACATTTCCACTTTTCTTTGTCCTCCTTTCCCTCAACCAGTACCTTGTCTAGGACTAAGAGATGACACTGATGCCTTCGACTTCACGATTACTAACCTATCGGAGAACTTTCTTGTCAGTACTCCCAGCAAAGCATTCTGTAGGGAGTCAGTCAACTAGAATAAGAAGCATAAGAAATCTAATGAGAAAAGCTAGTCAGTAGTCACTTACATTACATCCTTTCAGTGAAGGGCCCATCAGTACAATGGGACGTACTATTGGAGCTTTCTGATAGACTATAACTTGATACAGCTGGAAATAAATAGGAAAGGAGATAAGAACAGTTTTAATAGTAATAGTACACTCTCTTACAACATCTCCAGGCTCAGCAACACCTCTTTTATCATCGGTCACCTTCTGCAATAGCTTCTCACTGAAAAATAATAATACAAGATCCTTGTGACTTGTGACTAATCAACTTTTTATAAAGAATGACAGCAACTTTAAAAATTTGTAAAAAAAATCCAAATTCAATCGGAATCAGTTCAAACTTGCTACACAACATAAGAACATGTATATGCATCAGAAAATGTAATAAAAATTGAGAATTCTCTCCTAGTCATTTTTGGTGAAATTTGGCCAACGACACTGTACTATAGTACAGGGACTTTGGCCCAATTTTTGAGTAACTTAAAAAATTTGTAGAAAATCCAATTTTAATTGGAATCAGCTCAAACTTTCTACACAACATAAGAACATGTATATGTATCAGGAAAAGTTATAAAAATCTCCTTTTAAATGCCAAAAAATTTCCTAAGATACAGCAACAGTAGCAATATTTAACAGCTGTTGTTATTTTTAATTTTAAATTACCTTGGGAGGAATCCTAGTCCAGTATCTGAGCCGACTACACGTCCGATGAGCCAGTCCTCAGTATAGTCTTGTTTGATGTGTAGGTAGTCTCCTTTACTGAAACTGAGGACAAAACCAGGAGCAGGACATTGTATTGCAATGTCTTCCTCTATTCCACCAAAATCTACATTTGCCTTTAAACTGTGTTGTACCTCTAGACTCTATCAACAGTATAAACACTTTTGGGGTAACAATGGTGTACTTACATAAGCAGCAACTAACGCCTCGACAGCTTCCGTCTCTTTTAACTGAGACCTGATTTCTTCTAGAGCCATTTTTGTTATTTATACCACACCTATTGTGTGGGCGTTGCTTCAATAGGAGGGGCTATTTCATTTACTCTATTTATGGTAATGTGAGCAAATGAACATATCTATAAAGCAATACTTAATGCAGCTATAGTACAATAAAATAATTGTAATGTAGCATCAATTATTAAGTCCCCCATTTTATAGTTCCAGTGTTAGTGCTTGTATCAAACTCAACAGTTGTTCCACGAGAGAATTCTCTCCTCCAGACACCATTCTTGTAAGTAGCAGGACCATTAGGAGCTCCCAGTGGCTTATCATATTCTGGCTTCCATAAAAAAGCACTTTTATCATCATTTTGAGTGTTCCAATGGCCACACCCAAAGTAGCAATACTTTCCAGCTCCAATAAGAAATGCAGCCATGTAATTAGTCAAATCTCCAGCACAATCTTCTTTTACAGGTACATGAGCTTGTATCACTTGTCCAACAGTAGCACCAAGCATCAGTTCTACTATTGATGCATTGTTAGGAGCAAAAAACTCAATCTGAATTGATTTCACATAAGACTGGTTAGAGAACTTCCCAATGAGCAGTTTGTCATCACCCAAAGCATCCTGTACCTCTTTAGTTAGTTGAAGTAGACCATCTCCCCATGCCTTCTCCTTCTCTGGTGACAATGGTGGAATGAATGAGGCATTTATGCTGCCAGATGAGTCACAGAAGCACCCATCACCATTAGTAATATTCAGAGCAGTAAGGCATGTCTCTTTCCACCATTGTCTCACATCAGGATTAGATACATCAAATGCATAGTAACCTTGTCCAGCATTTTTAACTTTAGTTCCATTACTGTCTCTTAGGTACCAGTCTGGATGCTGATCCGCAAGCTCTCTTGCCATTCTTGTCATTTCTGGACGATCTTTGTATGAGTTCATGTAGAAGTATGTGGCAACATTTGGATTGACACGCTTAACCATTATCATGACAAGCATCATGTCATCCTCATCATCCACTCCAGGGATAAGATCACTTTGAAACTTCTCAATAGTAACCATAGGAAACTTGGCAATGGTTTTGATTGATTCCTCAGAATACAGGCCACTCTCATTACCAGAATGAAAGAACACTGGTAATGTATCCCATGAGAACATTGGTAGCTTTGCAGAACAAAGTACTACCATCAAAGAGAAGAGAAAGAGTGTCCAGCTACTCATTGCCATTGCTTGAGTTGACCTTCTATCATTAATGAATCTGATTATCAAAAGCAATGTCATGTGCATGCATGCATAAGCAAAACAATCAGCTCATTAATAAATGAATAAAAGTAGCTATACAGTTGACTAAGTCCCCCATTTTATAGTTCCAGTGTTAGTGCTTGTATCAAACTCAACAGTTGTTCCACGAGAGAATTCTCTCCTCCAGACACCATTCTTGTAAGTAGCAGGACCATTAGGAGCTCCCAGTGGCTTATCATATTCTGGTCTCCAGATAAATGCATTAGTGTCATCATTTGGAGTACTCCATATGCCACATCCAAAGTAGCTATATTTTCCAGCTCCAATGAGAAAAGCAGCTTCAAAATTAGTTATGTCATCACAACAGTTTTGTGTGATTGGTACATGAGCTTGTACAACCTGTCCAACTTCAACAGCAAGCATTAGCTCAACTATTGAAGAATTACGTGCATAAAAGTATTCAATTTGAACTGCTTTGACATACGACTGATTAGCAACTTTCCCAATGAGCAGTCTGTCATCCCCTAAAGCCTGTTGTACTTCTTTAGAAAGTTCGAGTAGACCATCTCCCCATGCCTTCTCCTTCTCTGGTGACAATGGCGGCTTGAAAGTTGTATTATAGCGTTGGGATGAGTCAGAATAACATCCATCGCCATTCGTAACTTTAAGAGCATTGAGACAAAAGTTTTTCCACCACTGTCTTAGATCAGGTTTAGATACATCAAATGCATAATAACCTTGTCTATTTCTAACTTTAGTTCCATTACTGTCTCTTAGGTACCAGTCTGGATGCTGATCTAGTTCTCTTGTCATTTTTGACATTTGAGGATGAACTTTAAATGATGGCATGTAGAAGTATGTGGCAGCATTTGGATTGACATCCTTTACCATTTTCATGACACGCATCATGTCATCTTCATCATCTACTCCAGAGACAAGGTGACTTTGTGACTTCTCAATAGTAACCATTTGGAACTTGGCAATGGTTTTGATTGATTCCTCAGAATATAAGCCAGTTACATTGCAAGAATGAAAGAACACTGGTAATGTATCCCATGAGAACATTGGTAGCTTTGCAGAACAAAGTACTACCATCAAAGAGAAGAGAAAGAGTGTCCCATTCATTGCCATGACTTGACTACTTCTTTAGTTGACCTTAATCATTCATGAATATTATTCAATATTTATTAACAATGTCTTGTAGCCTAAGCCATTATATACTTAATTGTCATAAAATAACAAAAAAATATGATGATAATATACTGCATTAATCAAGTCCCCCATTTTATAGTTCCAGTGTTAGTGCTTGTATCAAACTCAACAGTTGTTCCACGAGAGAATTCTCTCCTCCAGACACCATTCTTGTAAGTAGCAGGACCATTAGGAGCTCCCAGTGGCTTATCATATTCTGGTCTCCACATTAGAGGAGTGTCGTCATCATTTGTAGAATTCCATCTGCCACATCCAAAGTAGCTATATTTTCCAGCTCCAATGAGAAAAGCAGCTTCATAATCAGTTAAATCTTCACGGCAGTTTTGTGTGATAG